TCTACGACACTTCTAGCACGATACAAGCTAATTCCACGTCGAAACATAATTAATCTAATGGTCGTTCATTCGAAATAAAAAACACTTCTTCCCCAGGGACGAACTATATCGTAGGAAATACTACATTAATGAAATGTATTGACTTTTATTACTTTGCGTGTAAGGTCGGTTGTACACGAGGTCTGTGAAGGAAACTTTCACAGACTAAATACTAAAGAATACAGTACAGTACTAGACAAACAGTATTGTCCGTAGCCGTGATCTCGGGGGATCTTTAGAATAAATTTTACATAAGTAAAATAATATTTTTCTTTTAGACGTTAAAAGTTGTTTATTTAAAACTATTTATTTTACCAATAATATTTTCAAACATAAGAACAGATTTGCACGGTTCCTTAAAATATATAAATACACAATTTAAATTAAGTTAAAGATTTATCACCACCTCTTATTAGTTCCCACAGCTGGGACTAGTCTTTTAAAATGCCAATATGTGGGCTTAATCTAGGAAACATTGGCTAGATGGTTAAGGGCCGGGAGTCCCCGGGTCGGAATCCCGGGAAACATGAAATCTTGTTTCGGTCGGGCAGGGCACAGAGGTCTGATCAACTACTTGCCCGTTAAAAGAACGGTTTAGTGAAACGGGCACAGAAATGTGTTTGCCCCATGCCACACGAGGGGGAAACGGGCTTTTTTTTCACATAGTCGGGGAATGAACCCTAAACCTCCCGATGAAAGATCGTACTCCTAGATCACAGGAAAAAAACGTAGGAACAACCAAAATTTCTAAGTACAGGCAAATACCATATTTTGTTGTAACGTAATATGAATTATTTATTTGAAAATGTAATCATATCTTGTCACCTTGTGACTGTACCGTATAAGGAAAGAATTACTCGCATCGCAAAAACACATGTATATAACAATTCAGTAGGTGATGTTATTAAATTAATCATTGCCCCATTTCCCCTCTGTGGGCCAAACATCTGTATATTCCACGATCGATTTTTTTGCAGACTCATTTAATTGGCTTACCACCAAAAACGTCCCATAAGTGTCAAATGGACATGAGGCATCGGACGGACACATTTTTTTATGATAGAGTAGACAGAAGCACATTCACATTGGTAGGCGAAATATCCCTATTTGACTTTGGAATTAAAGGATTATCGAAATTCCGTCCGAGTCACCAACCACCCTTCATAACATTCAAAGTCGTGTAGTCTAAGGTTTCATTAAAGCGAATTCTGAAGGTCTGGTTTACATGTTATGGTTTGTATTTTTTCAGCTTCTACCAAGGGTTCCCATTGCTCGCCTGTCCCTCTATTATAAAACACTAACACAATTTTTTAGTGTAGTACAGAATCGTAAATAAAACATTTATATATATAAAAAAGATATAATATTCTCACACTTTAACAGTTTAAAAGGCGATATATATTAGTTAAACTTCTTTGAAAATTATTTTAACCTAGTTACCTATACGAATTAATGAAATATTATTACATCAGCCTGCTTGAAAATTTATAAATATTTTCGAAAAAATCACTTAGCTCCAGGCCGGAATCAAACCTACGGCCTGTGTCGTACAGAAATTGTATTAGAACATAAACTTACGAATTAACAGCTTTATGCAAGAATTATCAATTCAATTATCAAAGTAGGAAATATACTATAACTTAACTGTGCGTAAGCGTCAATATACCCAATAAAGTCATGAATAATGAAAATTCCCCGGTATTTAGTGACCGCAAGAGGGAAATTAGGGTTGCTCGGAGGGAATTTTTGAGCATTAGCATCGATGTACCCTCGTCAGTATGACAGGCGACGCGTCGGGTCATTGAAGGCCATTATAGTAAGAATCGGTGGATTTATCCGCCCATTTTAAGGTAATTACGGAGTCCATAACTTGTGCTCTACCCGACAAGAGTTCAAAGGTGTCTCACGATAGCGAACAGAAATTCGAAATTTAAAAATGTTGAACGTATACGGTAGGTCAATAATTGTTTGACGGTACGCTGTGATCATTCGTGGGTTCGAGTTCCGCCCTTGTCATCGTATTTTTTTTTATTCATATTTGTTATGAAAGAAGAGGGCATACACACATGGGATTCATTCGTATATCGTATATCCGGAACTGAGACGCAATCTAAAATAAAAGTTTTCAGAAAAAATTTACATATTGATTAGAACCCGATGGGGATCGAATCCACGCACCTTTGATTATTAACCACACATTTCTACCATAAGACGTTTATGTACATTACCTAAAAGAAATATTTCAAAACTATATTATTACGCATTAGTTGCAGTTCTTGCGAGTGGTACACGTGAAATCAAATCCTTTTAATGGTTAAAACTATTCATTTCATATATAAAAAAATATCGACTCGTGCAGGACTCGAACCGGCGCTCCTGTTGCTCTGACCGATTGAGCTACCGAGTCCTACACAATCGATATTTATTTCGTAACTTCTCCTTTCATTTCGAAAATAAAGCTGAAATAAATGTCATTCACAATAAAGGAACTGAATAAGCGTAAATGCGAAGCGACAAGGAAGGTCTAACACGGGTTTTTCGCGTAATTTGAGTACGTTAAGAAATAACAATACGCAAACATCTCCGTTAATACTTTAAAAAGCTTTTAGTCGACAAGGAATAGATTTTGGTCGATAACAAGGTAATGCTTATAACAGCTTCGGGACATGAGGGCGAACACATTTCTGCGTCCGTTTTACTTATCCGTTTAATTTACATTCACATAAAATACTGTCTATAGTTTACGCGATTAGTACACATTTAAATTAAACACTTTAACGGTTTAAAACGCGATATATTATTTAAATAAAGCCGCGGTCACGGGGAGTCTCCCCGTGACCTGCTGCAAAGCATCCGAAACGTCGGGCCGAAGTTAAAAATTATTTTCAAATAAGTTTAACTAATATATCGCGTTTTAAACCGTTAAAGTGTTTTATTTAAATACATTCACATAATTGATCATACTGCGCCTTAACTGAAATAATTTATCGTTTTATAAATATATTATGTTCAAATTTTTAGTTTTATTTAAACTAATATATATGATAAAATCTTGATTTTAATGTTCGTATTATAAAAAATACCTACCCTTTTGATCCATGCATAATTTTGCTAATAAAAACCACACAAGTATAATTTTATAGAGATAGAAAAAGTATTAGAATATTCTTTAGGTTTATAACCTGCAAAGCCATAGGAATGTGCAAAAATAGAGCCTAATATATCTTTGCATGTATGTTTGTTAAAATAAAACCGATTAATAACAGTTAATTAAGTTCGTATTAGAAACATAACAACAAAGTGTACAGCAAGAGAAAACCATGACGAGAGACGATTGACAACTCACTGACATTTAAATATTTTGATTTATTGGAAAATCATTTGAACTACGGCCCGACGTTCGGATGCTTTGTAGCAGGCGATCACGGGAAGACTCACTCAAATAAGTTTAACTAATATATATCGCGTTTTACACCATTATAGTTTTTTATTTAACTCGCGTAAACGATAGACAGTATTTAATTCACTGATATATTGAGAAGGCGGTAGTTTTAATTATATTTAACAATATTATTACAAAGATTACAAGAACAAAGTAAATTACAAACAAATTAGTTGAGTTCACGAATTAGACGAAAATTAATCAGGATTTTTCTCGATTCCCCGAGCATATTCCTCAATTTTGTGGGTCTGGAAGGAGGAAAAAATCCTTCATTCGACATTCCTTAACGAGATCGAACAAAAACATAATGACCAAGTTAACGATGACAGTAGTTCGACTTAGGACTTCGGCTATTACTAAAATGAGGTTTAAGAACCAGGGTCGTTACTCCTTTAGGCTTGACTGATTTTGATAAGATTTTGTGTGAGACTAGCTCGAGATAAAGATACTGAATAAACCAGTATAACTTTATATTGTTTTGTCAGATGCAATGTCGAACCCCCGACCACAGCGTTCCGACGCATGTTCCGATGGCGTAGAGGCTTATAAAATTGATTGACACCGGTAGCCACCTGAGGGGAATATACCAAACGATAATTGAACAGTTATTAAACAGATTTACTATAACAACTATTTAAAATTGGTGATAGAAGCGTGAACAGTTAGGGTTGTATGAATTTTTGTAATCCGACATTACAGAAAACTAAATAGAAACAGTGTCATAAAAACAAAGAAAACATATATGTGGATAACCAAATTCACATATGTAGTCATCAATTCTCAGACCTACTAAATACGCATATAAAATTTCATGAAAATCGGTCGAGCCGTTTCGCATGTGTATATTGTGACATTAAGCTGACGTAAAATAAAATTCAATACAAATATATTTTTTCATTCAAGGAATACATAAAAGAGGTTTAGAATTGAAATGATTACAGAACGCAGGGTAGTTGGTTGTGGTTTTGTGCGATGTTAACTTGCGCGAAGGAGTTTTCTTCACATTTTGTTTGTTAACTAGTTCGCGAAGTCTTTTTCCCAATGACTGGTGACTTTTTGCCTCTGTAATTGTATTGTTGACTTTGAAATGGGAGAATATAAAGAAAACTACAAGATTTTAGCTTGTTATACTATTTTTATGTCACTCATTTTAAAACAATACGAACACTAATATTAAGCTTACAATAAATATTTCTTTCTTACAAATATTATTCTTCTAATATTCTACTTTCTACTTAACGATACTAAATGTTCTATTCATACACCTCTTAGAGCTTATTCATAAAAAATATTGAATAAATTATATTTTAATTAACTAAAAAAAAGTCATGTATATAAATGTCCATTTTTGGCCTAGTATGGAAGGGTAGTGGACACTCCGTACACGGTGTTAAGTTTACTACTGACTATATCTTTGCACTAGGTAACAGAAGATGTCCAAGGTTCGAATTCAGGCAAATAACGTGTACATAAATGTTATTTCCCACTTCGTTTTTTTCTGAAGACATATCTTTTACAGTTGCCTGCTCGACCGTAACTGTGACGAAATGCCAAGCTGCTCTGAGGACCCTGCAAGCCTTCCCGTTCTTCAAGCCGACCTGCCTCTGTCGAGAACCGAACGTCGATCCCGAATGCAACTCGTTTCGCGACTTTTTATTCGACCATCCCTGCGTGTTCGTGATGAAGAAGGGTAAGAACTATCGCCTGAGTTATTTCGTATCTGAGTTAGTTGGTACACCATGCGTCGATTGAAAACCATACTTGTTACTAATAAAGAAAGCAACCGATTGAAATACTCCGACACGAGACGATCAGATTTCTGTGTCCGTGTGCCCTGCCCAACCGAAGCAAAATATTGTTTTTCACTTTATTGCTTATTAAATGTTTAGTAAAGCCTCAATAAACAATACATTGTTACAGAGAAAGACCCGTACCCCGTGGAAACCCTGCCGACCTGTACTTACGCACTGAGCGTCTGCCACAACGAAAAACCCTGCTCTGTTCTGTTCGACCGCTTCAAGAACGCATGCAAGGCCAGGGATGGAGAGTGTCGCATGGAGGATAGGTATATTGATGTGCTATTCAACTCAAATCCACTTAATCAAAGCAATTCAACTCGATTTAACGCAAATTAAATATATCCAACTCTAAACACTGTCTGTAATAAAACACTTTAACGGTTTAAAACGCGATATATATAAACTGCGTTTCGGATGCTGTGCAGCAGACGTGGTCACGGGGAGACGTGCATAGCATCCGAGACGTCGGGTCGTAGTTAAAAATAATTTTCAAATAAGTTTAACTAAAGTATATCGCATTTTAAACCGTTAAAGTGTTTTATTAAATATACAACTCAATTTAGCTAAATTCAATACTTTCAAATGAGAAGCTCGTTGATCTGACAAACTAGTTATTAACGTCAATAAAAATTCATTTGAAATTTCTGACACACCACTCTGACCACAAGAGGTTGACATCGCATCTTGTTTCCACGTTATGTTCGTGAGACATAACATCGTTAATAATATTGGCTGACATAAACATAATGATTGTTGACTGAACTTGTTCTTATTATGTTGTATGTTTAGTTATCAAACTTATATTCCTTAATGCTATTACCGATAAAACATTGTAATAAAGCTTATGTATTTTAAAGAAGAAAACTCGTTCCTTGCAGCTTATAGTTATAAAAGTGGTTTGTTTTCTTTATAATTTCAACAAAGCCTTTTCTGCAAGTCGCTCAACGCCTACACAAGAGAGTAGCGGTTTTAGGGTTGCGTAAAGCTTAGGTATGCCTTTTGGCCTATCCAACTATCACTAGTATTATTTTACATATATTTGTGTTACTGACATAATTCAATAATCTAAATTATAAGAACGTAGAGATTAGTAAGGATAGTCTTGCTCCGTAACGCGTTATGTAACGCTTATCATATGTGTTAGCTGACGGGCTTGTTGGTCTAATGGTAGCAATGTATGGTCGTAAGCACGATCCCCACCGAGTCCAACATGTTACAAATTTTTCAATTTATACTTAAAAAAAATAGACATGAAAAAACCCCATAATTGTCTACCCTCCTTTATCATTAAAAAAATATAGGAATCACACAAAGTCTCTCATACAACAAACATAATGTCACTAAATTTTTCGACGTAACGAGTTGTTGTTTTTTGGTACAATTATGGCGACTCTACACGATGGCGAAGATGTTGGCGAATGTATTAGCCAATACGATGTCGGCCATTTTGTAGAACGGGGGTTGGTGACCTATTTGGTAGGTATTGGACTATTGGCCCACGCATTGGCGCAAGATTCGTGTGGTGTCGGTTTTTCTACGCAGATCAAAGGGTTATGGCGGGATTGTGGCACAGTGATGGCCGTAGCGTCCACACGTTGGCGACACGTTCAGTTTGCAGCGAGCGCCCATTCTGTGCGGACGTATTTTTTAATGAGGATTTATTGATATCGAATACGATTATGGCAGTAATGAAGAAACTTTTCGCTTCATAGTGCTCTATCAAGCTGAAAACTGTCTATGGAATCCGAAAAATAAAGATCATAAAATATAAACAACAAGACATTCTACTTATTTTTATTTACTCTATTAAGTACAAATACACAGTAGAGTCAAACAAGGATCTTTTGTCACTTGGATGGCATTGATATGAGGGCATGAAATTAACAACAAATATATTATCAATTTTTTCGTCCGCACATTGGCGCGAACCGAAACAAACTGTTTGACCGTCTAACGTGTGGACGCCATCACAATATCTCGGCCAAAATCTTTGCCACAATGTTCGCCATCGTGTAGAGCCGCCATTATAGTAATAGTTGTTCAATATTTCAAATGTCAGATGTCCATAACAGTTTTGAAACCACCCACTAAAATTTCGACTCAATCAATCATAGGGAACAAGTTGATCAAGTTTCGGCAAGAATAACCAAATTTATCGAGAAAGCAATTTTATTACAAGACCGACATCTGAATTACAAATTATTTTTAGAAAACCTTGTACGAAATATATTTGAGTTGTAGCTGAAGTTAAGACGAAAGTGAGTATAAGATGTAATTTATTATTCGAACCCAAGAACTTTCAACAATATTCCAGCTAGCTACTTAGCTATAACAGTCGTGGAGAAAAGGGGAACAATAAAAAAAAGTTAACTACAGACTAATTTACAGTTTCAACCCGTTTAAAAATGCTATATACGCCGTGATCGCAACAGCCGGATTTTTTGATTTGCGTTGTATGTTATTTTTAACGTCAATGTATAAGTTAATATTTTTTTGGTAACAAAGGTTTATACAAAATAACATAGTTAATATAGTTCTCAAATAAGACAAATTTAACGGACGTATTGATCGAATAATAATAATTAAAAGATCGTGGGTTTGATCCCCATCGGGTCCAACATGATTCTAATCAATTTATAATAATTATATCAGAATTCTGAAACATGTCGATCTTTGAAAATCTGGATATCAAAATGTCCGTCCGGGTCACGAACTACCCTCTCTTGTTGAGATGTTATTTGGCTAGAGTAATTCACCTACCATCAAGTGAGCCCAGTTTAACAGTTTAAAACGGGAAATATATTAGCTAACTTACTTTTAACCGGAGTTGCGGCTGCTACCAAGCATCCGAAACTTCGGGCCATAATTATATTATTTTTAAATAAGTTTAACTAATATATTGCGCGTTATTTAAACGGAGTAGTACCTACACTCCCGTAAACTTAGACAACATTTTTATGAAGAAAAATAAGTGATTTTTTAAACGAAATTCTAATGTTTTAAGAGCCCTAATTATGATATGCTGGTACAATAAAATACGTAATAGCTATTTATGACTAGCCAAGTAGAACGCGATGTTGTTTATGGTATAATAGCGCTATAGCTAAGTTATTGCTGTAAAATGTAGGCTGTAGATCCTCATAAAATTGTTAAACCTAACTAACACAGCGTATATGTAAAAAAGTAAATAAGAGTTTTCATGTGGACCATCGTGCACGTCTTTCCACCATTTAAATAAAATACTTTTAACGGTTTTAAACGCGACAGCCCGATGTTATATGGCTGCCTGTATTCTTCTGTCATACTGGATTTCTTCTACATCTAGACATAATTTCTTATTGGCAAGTAACATTTTAATGATTCAGTATTTATTTTCTTATATATAAGAAAATAAACACGTAAATATAAAAGTCTTATATAGTTAAAAAGATAATAAAAACCTCGAATATATTCAAATATAATTAAAAATGTCTGTATTTTACACGATTAGTACAAATTAAATAAAACACTTTTAACGGTTTAAGTTTCGACACGTATTAGGTTGACTTACCTAACTACCTGACTAACAAACAAATAAACTCTTCAGCTTATGTAATAGTATTCGAAATTAATCGATATTCTGAGATTCTATAAGTTAAGGATAAAAACGCAGAAAAGATAGCTACTATTAAAATATTTAAAAAAAGTCTCACTTCTTCAGTTGTCAAACTACTCTGCCGTTAAAGTTAAGAATATATTACATACTACATAAAATAACGATTATTTCCCCAGAGAGAGTTGCCGTGAAGCCTGGGCTGGATTACGTCTATCCCCACTCTTCGGCTGCATCTGCCCCAACACCCACATGAAGAAGCGTTGTGACAGGATCTTCGCTGTCGTCAACCACAACCCATGCGTTGGTGAGTAGGCACCTATAGCTTTCCGCCATGTCATTGTTTTGAGTGAGATAATTTAAAGACATTTAAAATCAAACGCCGCTAAAAAAAAATCAATCACTTTTAAGGGTAAACGCGATAAACTAACTTATTTTAACTTCACTTAACTAGGGCCTGACGTTTCGGATGCCCTGCAGCTGCCGTGGTCACACGGGTTGCTCGCGTAAATTACAGATGACGTTGTTAAAATGTATCTCGTCTCATTTTAAACATATTTAAGCCAAAATACAGACAAACTATAAATTTTAACAATTTGAAATCTACATATTTAGATTAGAAAATCGAGACTCGAACTGGCCACTATAGCGATACGTGGAGTAAAGTGTTATGGTTGGAAATATATTGCGCGTGTAAATATAAATGAACAATCGATAACGAAAATCAGTTTGTAAGAGAAACGACACGTAATAGTGTGGTCGTGAGTTGAAATACTTCCGTGTTATCACGATAGACTTTAAAATAAAACAATTTCAAGTCAATTAAAATTATCATTTCTTTTAACAATGGGACGATTATGTTGAACAACATTGTCCGTTTAACATAATACAAACTTAATCTTGCTAACAAAAAAATAACCGGTATCTATAAAAATGCGTTAACGGCCTGCATTATTTTTTCATTCTACTTTATTATATGTACCGTGCCACTCCAGTAGGTATAAAGTACATACGTGCCAAAGCCAAAAGCATCGTAACTCCGCACGTTAGTTACATAACAAAATCCGTTCATCAAATCTTCTTGTGTAGTATGTTCTTATTCGTTAGGGCTACCAAAAAACATTAAAAATATTTGGTTTAGATACTATCGTAATATATGTATATTACAATTTTTTTTCCTTCTCCATAACTCAATGGTTAAAGGGGTTCCTTAGCGGTGCTCCTAGGTTTGAATCCAAAAAAGAAACATGTTTCGGCCGTTTAAAAACTTTGATCAACGAGTCGAGCAGGACCTGAGAGAGCAATGGGCGCGAGAGTGTAGAACTCGGTAGCTCAATTAGTTCGAGCAACAGCACGGAACGTTGACAAGTCCTGCAGAGTCGTAATTTTTTTCAATTTATTTTCGGTAAGTTACGTTTCGATCGGTCAAACCACAAAAGTCTGATCAACTATCGCCTGTGAAACGGACGCAAAAATGTGTTCGGCCCACACAGGATAGCATTCTTTAGTTTTACTTTAATAGAATACATAAATCAATTCGCGACTCGCATGCTCCACTATAGTCAAGAATAAACTGCCAATTAAAATGGTTTTTGTCGCGTGACAACAAGACGTTTTATTTCTTAGTCAGCAATTTAGCATGTAAGGTAGCATGACACTGGTCACTGCTAAATACCGAGTATAAAGTTTTCGATCGGTAACAAAACCATTCGCGCTCACACTTAACTTTAATGTATAAAATTAAAAATCCTTTATTTCCTTTAAATTACTGCTATTTACACCTTTTAACATAATCTAGTTTAAGGACCTGTTATTATTTAGTTTAATATATTTAAGATGATTATAGAAAATATTTAAAATGAATTGTTAAAACGTGCTAATCTCAGTAAGTACTGGTTAGAATTAAAAAGTTTTATGTTGGTTGGACCATTCATCGAGGAAGGCTTTAGGCTATAAGATCAGGCTGCGAACAATACGAGTGAAGAAATAGAGGAAAATGTGGAAAACGGGGTAAATTGTTTATCTTTATTTGCGCTGCAAAAACAGTTCAAGATACCCAAAAAAATATGTTCAAACGAATTTTTATTCTTTAATATCCGCAACAATATACGTGTCTATATTTAAAGAATAACTAACTAGAATCGTTTTTATGGTAGATAATCAAATTCAGTTGCCATCAATACATCGCATGGCAAAATAACGTTTCCAGGTCAACTATTTTTATACTATATGTTAGCTTTTATGCCAGGAAACTAGGCTTTTGGTATGACACTAACAATTCTATGGGGTTCAGGTTATTATTTTATTGTAATTCCTTCATTTTGCACCAGTAGTTCCTGAGGTTACCGCGTTCAAACAAACTCTTCAGGTTTATAATATTATAACTAATTTTTATTCTACTATTTAGTAGATAATAAATTATGTGCTAGGCCGAGAGAATGGATAAAGAGAGTTTCATTTAAATGTGTACTACTCGCGTACACTACAGACAGTATTTAAGATATAGATATATAGTCAATATTTTTTTTTATATAATTTTATCCATGGTGTTTAAACAGCTAAGGACGACGGGGTCTCCCCTTCCTTGGTCAGAAGGGACCTGGTCTACTTATTCATAATTATATATACTTAATTTAAAGCTTATGATTATACTTTAAGTTACGTAATAGTAATTTACATTATATCTATTATTACTGCTAAATGTTAATATTTAGTGTCTACTAAAAAAAACCCTCCGTAGTAACACTACGTTTACGAGTCGAAGTATAATTAATCAGCTTGCAACTTCCAAAACTCGATTAAACTCGCCTCAACGCCGAGCTCCCGATATTTATTAAAAGCGCGATATTGTAAAATAATAAAACACTTAAAGTGGCAACCCTAAGTCCGCCCTGGGGAAGTATTAATCCCGAAGTGGTCGATTTCTTGCCGGCGGCTTCAACTTTCAATCTAGACGGAGCCGTTTAATTCCATAAATCGATGTTTTGCTTTGTTTGTTTTTACTACGTATAGGAAATTAAATCGAGTTTCTGCAAGAGTTTAAAAGGACATTTCAAGTGATTTCTACATTGCAGTTGTTTTCTTAGGACAAAAAGGGAAAACGTTTAGAAAATTGCTTCTTTTAATATTGTAGATGATTTTACTAAACTACGTTGAAGGATAATAAGGGGGAGGGGGGTTAATTACTCGAAACTTTAAACAAATCAATCGAAAGTATTATGTTTTGTCACATAACATAAAAAAAATATACAAAGTATGAATTCGTCTGACTCATACTTCATCTTCGTAGTTTACACGAAATAAAACTTTAAACGGTTCAAAACGAGGAATACATACATTATTTATTTTTATGTACGACCCGATGTTTCGGATGCTTCAGACGATGTCTCAGCGCGGGGAGATTTTATTTGTCTCAATACTAGGGCCTCTCGTTTGAAGTCTTTATATAATAAATCCTTTTTCTAATGTGAATAGTGGGACACCCTATATATCGTGACTGAACTGTTTTCGTCCAATCAATTTACTCCGAACTACATTCGGTCCATCTCCAGTAACTTAATATCCGCGTATATACGTAATGCCGTAAACAGAACACCGAAAAACTATTGTGTCTAGTTTGAATTTAAATCGCTAGCTTCGAAAATTGCATGCGAAATTCGATGTGTATTGTTTTACTTGAAAACAGCAACATAACAATATTGCTTTTGAAGACAAAAATTGGCTGTAACAAGCCTTTACAGGACAGCAAATTGTTTTACGCTGTCTATAGGTGTATGAAATTCACGTATTATTTTCGTTCTGTAAATATTTCTGAACACTAGCCGTTATGTAATCAGCTGTATATACTGTTGGTGTTTACCTGCTCTACTGTCCGATGCTTGATTTATTTTTTGGGCCGTGTGTTTCCCATCCCCTCTCCTTGTGGACTTAGTCTGCAAATGAATGTTAAATAGTTGATAGGAGTCTCGTCCGACTCATGAACCACCGTCTACAGACGGAATAAATAGCCTTGAAGTGTAAATTGGTTTACGCGAGTACAATTTTAAATAAACCATTCGAGCGGTTTAAAACGCGTATATATTAGTTAAACTTATTTGAAAATTATTTTAACTACGGCCAGACGTTGTGTCCCCTTGACCACGGCTGCTGCAAAACATCCAAAACGTCGGGCCGTAGTCAAAATAATGTTCAAATTAATGTAACTAATATATATCGCGTTTTAAACCGGTAAGTGTTTTAATAATATGTATGACTTAGTATTCTGATTTTCATCAGTGGTTTTCAATGTCCATCGGACCACAGATCATTTTATTTAGATGTTATAGGGGTTCCCTTTCCATCAAGTGAAATTAACTTCTGTCATAATAAGATGACATACATCGTCGGATAACATATATTTATTCCCTAAAAGCAAATCTCAGGAAGGCAAAGATAAAAATCACTAGGAACTGCCGCCATTAAAATCGGACAAAGGCGGACATCAGCTTTTGACAAAACACTATCTATTCGTAGTGTTTTGTCAACATAATGACGTATACTATGTAAGCAGTCAATCTAATTAGTTAAGAAAGTGATTTCTCATAAGCTTTCTCAAACGAAAGATAACTGAAATGAACATTACAAATGAAATGAAGGCAAACCAACAATTTTACCTGGGTTTGAAGTCATTTGAGAGCCTCCGGAATCCGAGGCAAGGATTAGTCGGTTTTCCACGAATACAAATGGAAAGCGTAATTTAAATCCGTGCTGTAATCCTTTATATTGAAAGCCGAGTCCCTTCTGGCTAATAAGACTTCGTCGAAAATCATATTTTAAGTTTTCTTTTATTGGTTTCGAATGACGGGCTGGCTGGTTGATTATTATTAGCATGTTCGTTCCCCATCAGATCCAACATCTTTCTATTCTATTTATAACTTTTCTAAAACATGAACTTCATCTGGAGATCTGGATGGGAAGGGTGGTCGGAATATCCAAAATCCGTCCGGGTCAAACACCACCGTCCTCAAATGAAAAAGCCGTCAAATTAATCGCGTTTCGGTTTATTTGTGCATTTCCGAATAACCAAAGGCAAATAGGTGGATGAAGCATATGTATGTATAGCATATATATGATATATGTCGCGGTTTTTACTGTTTAACGTTATATATTGTTACGTGCACTATCGTGTTTACTGCCGTTTTATTAAGAATTAAAATATAAACAAAAATAGTAAGTGAATAATAAATTTTATATTAAGTGACCTTATATTTAATTGGCTTTAATTCTTTGAAAGTGCGTCTCGTGGGCAATTAGTTGTAGCTTGTAAGTTGTTTCGAAACCACGAATCTTATTTGAGGGAAGCCTTCTGTCGACTGTTTGTACCGAACAACTATGGCCGCGCTAGAAGACACGATCTCTTTGACGTCCCGAGAGGTCGCACCTCTGCTCGCGCGTTTTCGCCGATACCACGAATTTTAACCTCGCTCAAGCTCTCCTCAAGTTAAACCCAAATGTGATCTTTTCGCAGATCACTGGTCATCAATACTGAGAGAATTGTCTGATTTTTAAATTTTGTCCTAATGTAATTGATGCACTCTATTTTTAAGTGTAATTCTATTGTGTACTTCTATCCAATTAATGTAAGTGGCTATCGCTTTTAATTGTCTTTATAATAAATAAATAAATAAATAAAAATAAATAATTAAAAAAGGGCTTATCAATTGATACATAATTTAATCTCAATAATATCTTATTTAGTTTAGATCGTAAAAATCTAAAGGACATTTTTGACTATTGTTTATTCTAGTAAACTGATCAATGGACTAAAAATAACATTGACTAGAAAAGTACCACTTTCGGAGTTTCCTAGGCGATCTTTTTTTTTCTTAGAAATAAATAACTTTAAAAAACTCAAATTATATTCTGACAGTCCTAAGCCTGTAAAGAAAGAAGATAATTGAAATACAATGATGTAATCGTATAACGTTTGTATTAACAGTAAACAAACATCAAATTATGTTTCAGTTATGTTTTAAAGAAAAAAATAACAAAGCAATTAAGCATTTAGTATTTTTTAAGCATGACATTCTAATTAGTTATAAATTGTAAGTCGCTATTTACATCGCTGATTATATATATTAGTAACCACAATTTTGTAATGTTCAAATTCGTGCCTCCACCGAATCAGTCCCCAGCCAATATCAATCGAATAATCTTAAAATCAAGAAGCCGCACAAAAGAAACAATAGAAAGGAAATCCATTCAGCCTCGCCTTTGTGCTAAGGGCACTTTGAGGGCGGTCTAGAGAAGTAAACCTTTTTGAAGAATTCTCTGACACCGATTTTTCGCTCCCCCTGATTGGGGTAATAGAAGTGAAATGCTTAATATTCAGGATTTTGAGAGATTTAACGAATTTAATTTAATAATGTATTGTATGTTGTCCAGTAGTGGAAATTGAAAGTTAGTTTAAAAAATATATTATTCAAGGTTCACTTATATGAAATATCTCAACTTAATAACGCAAGACGATTTAGACCATTTACTTTAACATTATTAAAATTTTACGTTTATATTTAGAAGGAAGTCCTATATTCACGCCAAGTTAAATCGGCCAAGGCGTTTAGTCGTGAAAGAATAACCAATATAAAACTATTCTTACAAACCTCTATCATTTGTTATATAAGGATACTAAAAATGCATGCATGCATTTGTTCTCTATTTTGATATTGTATAAGCCCATTGAAGTCAAACAAAGCCGAGAAATAAGCATAGGTTTTGTCCGGCCCGTTTCATACGTGGGAACATATACAACTGTTGGAAAATTACTTCTCTCACTTGATGTTGCTGCGGGAAAATATCTGGGTTTCAGTTTATAAATATTTCCTAAACTGTGTTATTGCGTTTTTATATGAAGTTCTAAAAATGTACATAAAGTCTCTTGGTTTAGAAATGTTTGTTTTTATCAAAACGATTGTTATGTAGTACTTTTATTGTTCATTGAATTTTTTTATAACGAATATATATTTTCTCTAAAACGCGAACTGTTCAAAAAATTGCCGATTTTCCATTTCACTTATTTAACAACGACGAAAATATTTTTATCGAGCAAATGTTTGCTGGAAATCTGCGAATCGCATGTCATCCCGCTGAATTTCTATGAAAGCTTTTTAATCGATTCTGTGGCGTTGATAAATCTTCCTGTTAAATATTATCTCACTCAAAACTGGGAATAACAAACTATAGCTTTAAGTGTTAAAATAACTGCAGTGCTTAGGTAATTACACATGTGACTAAATGTTACACTAACAGTTTCACGTGTTGTGAACATAATGTGACCGAGACTAATGCCTTGTGGGATCCCCGGTATATCTCCCTACACAATTCGACATATTATTATTTTATTGACGTGCATTGTGTGCCTTTGTTTCGTATATTCAATGCATTACATCAACACACATTAAAGCAACAACTAATGAAACTAAATAAATCCACACACATAAACACTTCACCAAAAGCTTCAAGAGTTCTAGACTCCAACAAAATAGTTGTCAACGTGTTTATTAGTTTTGTTTCGTACCCTTTTGTTTGGTTCATGTTCTGTTACTTTTCCTGCCTATTAATTTTCACACTGTTAGATGCCTAGGCCTTAGGAATAAAGTTAGATCACTTATTTACCACACAAGGCTGTATACCTTTATGTTTCACGGACACTGAGCTTCTTTTTAGTGTACTCCTGACCTCACACACCGTACAAATGCCCGCAGTTACCTCAACTCTTGGCTTCACACCTTCGGCCTTCGGTGACGATCTGCGCCTGCTACTGATAGAGCATTGTCGGGGCGGCGTATAATATCCTAACTCTTATCTTACCTTTCATGAGAATACTCTTAAGGGAGATCAGCTCTTTAGCGATGGTAAACGAACCTGAAGGTCCGTTAAGTGTATTCTAAGTGCGGTTCGGCACGGGGGCGGTTGTGGTAACGTGGTTATGGGGCAGCGGCGGCTGGGGGTGAATGTCCACCGGCGGTGAGAGCGCTGTTTGAGCCGAGGAAGCCAGCGGCGAGAGCGCCACCACTCACGCGGTATGCAGCTCCAGACGGTACCATCCTGCTCCTCACCGAGAACGGCACCAGGCTGATGACACGTGCCGCTGCCGCAAGCCTGCTTCGCGCTGCCCTCCTCTCCCCGCGCCCCCCTCGGCCCCGTCACGGTAATCCGCCGCCGCACCTCTCTCTATGTGTCTCTCGGATTCCGTCGCCTCTTGCACTGCACGCTTGGCTATGCTTCGTAAGGTAGGAGCGCGTAAGTGAATTCAGCCCACCTGGTCGATCGATTCATCGTGCAATTATTCACAATTTCCTTGTTCAATAGATGTGTTTAGAATGTTCAATTCACAGGGTTCTTCTAGATGGCAAACGTTTGTGGACATCGACACATCATATAGGATATAGGCTAAGTTTCATCGACATGATTCATTAGACGTTCAAGTAAAAGCATACTATTTATAAGGGTATACAAATTTGCGAGTTCGGCACGTTACCTGTGACTGACTTTGATTACTACTATAAATCCTCTATAACCATATTAAATCTGAACGTAAGTAATTTCTAGCTTACAACAGAAGGAACCATTAATTCGCTCCTACTTTATGCCCGCATGCTTTCAGTACTGCTACTCCTTCACTCTTTAATTTTTAAAATCACTTTAGACTTTCAACGGGAGGAAATGATTCCATTAATTCATTTAACGCAACCGCTTTGAGAGTCTAAATTGTATCATTCTACGATATCAGCATGTTGCATGTGTCTGCATCTCCTATTTCTACGATCTCTATGGTTACTGCGCGGCATAGATTTTGCTTTGACGACAGTCCTATAAAGTCGTAAAGAGCTTTGCTAATACCAATATCCAAATTAAACGTACGTGGTTTTAATTTGTGTCCCTTGTATCATACGTTTTGGATATCGTTGTTTGTATGTCGTTTTTTGATTTAGTAGGGTTATTTATGTATGTTAGACCGGCCCTGCGCGATCGCCTTAGTCAGTAGAGTCATCCGCGACGGCCGGGTCGTCGCTTACCTGCGCTAAGCGATACGGATTCAATTCCAGTAAAGCTGATGTCGGACGGACGAAACGCTAATCGCAACGCGACAGGAGTGACGTCATGGATCGGCGGTATGTCCATAACGCAGGACGGCAACCTAATCGCCCCGGACAAAATTATAAGTCACGTCCACCGATATGCGAGCCCGCACTACAAACCGCACGGGCACCATTACCACCGTTGGAACCATGAGCCCGGGGGGAGCGAAGACCCGCTATACGCGACCAAGACAGTCTACGGGCCGGGATATATCGATGAAAACCGTATGTATTACGTTCACTAATCTCTAGACAACTAGACTAGTATAAGGAGATTAGTCGACGGTATCAAATGTTACAATGACGTTCAGGTACACTAACAAATTAACCATAGATATCGTAACGACACACGTAGCTTCGGAGTTGTACAGGTAGAACACTGTCATCCAACACGGACTCGTTTCTGGCACCACGGGACAACTCATATCATTTCCACCCATAGCCCCTGAACCCAGTTAGACAGACTGATAGTCTCGTAGATTTAAGGTTCTAGACGAGTAAAGCTTTGCGTAGTCAATACTATCAGCTTGCTTACAAGCAAGAACTCCGATTTTATGAAGCGGTCTAGATATAAGCTTTGACATACCTTCGTGAAGCTTTGCAGATTAACAATTATATGAAATGAAATGGTAAGTTAAATAAAAGTTCACAAGACAGTGACACAAGCATGGTATATCGGTTTCTGCTTGCAATCAAAAGATTTTTCACAGAATCGATCATGAGCAACCCATAATACCCCGAGTTCATGACGCCATCGATTTATAAATTATATTTTTAATAAGTACGTTATTTCCTATCGCATGTAGTAATGTTTGAACCACACTATATATTTATAACATTTACGCAAACCGATTTGTTTATTTATTTATATATTTCGTTGACAATATGACGATGTTTTATTTATTTTCCCCTAAATACATTTATGGCACAGCACACACAGATGTTTTATTACTCACACTTTAAAAATTAGTTGAAGAGGAATAGGTCACTCACGACTAAACGGAAGGTTAAATAGTTGTAAGAATTGGTGTTGATGTGGGGTTTGTTTGACATGTGCCCACTAAATGATGTAAACCTACAGAGCGGATTGGAAAGGAAAACGGTAAAGCAGGTGACGATAAGGCAGCTTTGCAGTCCACGTGTCACACAGCACTGGACACTTGCATTAAGGACAGCGAGTGTGTAGCATCTCTAACTCCTGTGCTGCAGAGGTGCCATTCCACTGATTGCGATCGGGAAGGATGTATGGGGGCTTTGAGGAACTTCTATCGGAAGCCTGGCGTTCATTGGAGTACGGAGATCGCCTTTTGCCTGTGCAAGTAAGTAGTTCTTCAAAATTAGGTCTAGCTCACCTCGCTACCTAGCATTCTTTACCTCTTTGTGTGGACGTGGTACATTTATGACTAATAACAGAAGATGTGTGTTTCTGAAATCTGTTAAGAAATCGATCAACGAATAGAAATAAATACAGTGTAGTTTATATAGAAGTTTAAAAGCTGTAGGTTTGTAGGCTTTGGATATTCGAATAAATTATTTTTAATTTAACTACGGCGTTTACGATGCCTTGGAACAGCTGTGGTCATGGGGAGACAGAAAATGGAGATCTCCCTTATGTCAAAGTCAAAGCAGCGATGCTAGCGCCATCCAGTTAGTTAGTTTTAAGCCATTATAGTGTTTTAATTTAATGTGTACTGCTCGCGTAACCTACTGACAATACTTAGCTATCCGAACTTACAAGTTTAAATGTTAACATCGTAGAACTACTCAAACAATTACGATCTAACAAAATATTATTTAAATACTGTCTATAGTTTACGCGAGTAGTACACATTAAATTAAAACACTAATGGTAAAACCAACTAAGGGGAGAAAAGGCGATTTGGGCCCGGGAAACCTCCCGGGACCACGGCTGCTGCAAAGCATCCGAAACGTCGGGCTGAAGTTAAAAATCATTTTCAAATAAGTTTAACTAATATATCGGTTTTAAAGTTAAAGTTTTTATTAAAAATTATTTTGCACGACAACTTCATAATTTTTTGTGTAAAATACTTACTATTAATTAACGAACACGATACCTTAAAGAGATCTTAAACTAAGACACAAGCGAAAATTTTCAAGTAATAAGTATAATGTGTGATAATTATATAGATTCAAGACGTTTTTCGCACAAAACAATAAGAATTTAGCTCCCAATATTTGCTCTCCAAAAGCAGTTAAAGCAAAACTACTATTGACTGTTGCTAAGAGCCAAGAAGTTGCGGAACTTTGTATGTTATTGGCCAAGTCAGCGATCAAATAATGTGATTGAGTAAGTTCTTAATTAATAATATCGATGCTACCTTTCTGACCTGTAAGACGAAAGTTTAGTAAGCCTTTAGAGATCTCAAATCTTTTTATTAAGCTTATTTTAATATCTATACTAATATATAAAGCTGAAGAGTTTGTTTGTTTGAACGCGTTAATCTCAGGAACTACGGGTTCGAATTTAAAAGTTCTTTTTATGTTGGTTAGAACATTTATCGAGGAAGACGTAGAAGAAGAAGATTATAATAAAAAATTTAAAATATCATATATTCGAATTTCATAAATATTGTGTTTAATCGTACATAAAACTTGAGTTAAATGTAATATAAATACATTATAAAATTGGAATATAAGGGAAACCGTTTAAAAATTATCAAATATTTTTGCCCAATGTAAAAGATTTCCGTTTCCTCCAGCGGGTCCATTTCACTGATCGTTTTTATTTACAGAAAAGTAGTTGCTGGCTCTTCTGTGCCCTGTCCGACTGAAACGATCTATTGTTTCACCGGGATTCGAACCCAGGGCCTGCTTTCTACAGCCACCTTTTACCGGACGGGGTGAAAAATTTAGTAAAAACATATAACAATATAAAATTACAGTCATGTAATTTAATCATGAAATAATTCTGAGACGTAACACGTAAATGTATTTTTATAGGAAAACTGACAACAAAGAAGACTCCTGCATGAATGCCCAAGAGCGTCTCCATCCGTCTTGTGCCCAACGCCCACCTGTGGGATCCCCACTGCCAGCTTGCCACACGCTGGCCCACAATTGCCGAGAGGACGCTGAATGCAGGTTCGATTTACTAAACAAACTTAAACTATAAATTTACTTACTTATGCATAAGACTTGCAACTAGATTAGATTTATTCGGTAATTAGATAATTTAAAACCAGGACTATCATCGGTTATTAAGACAACAAAAAGAAAGCTTACTATTCACTATTGCTGGTTAATAAAATTCTAGATTCGGGATTGAGCGAAACTTGCTGCTATAGGATGCCGGCTGCTCGGTTTGGGTTCCAACTGGTTTTTTTTTGTATGATAGAGAACAGACAAGCATGGCGGTCACTTGATGGTAGGTACCCCAGCCTATAGCATCTAAACAAGATTCGTGTCGACTATTTTTATTTAAGAAATTTAAATCCACACTGAAAGGCAACGATTAAACTTCACAGATTTTTGTTATTTGACGAGAATTGTTATTCCTACCATTTAATATCCAGATAAAATCCAACGTGTTTCAGAAAAATTAAACATAGATTATTAAATTTAAATAAAACACTTTAACGGTTTAAAACGCGATATATTAGTTAAACTTATTGGGGGAGTGTCCCCGTGATTACGGCTGCTGCAATGCATCCGAAACGTCGGGCCGAAGTTAAAAATCATTTTCAAATAAGTTTAACTAATATATCGCGTTTTAAACCGTTAAAGTATTTTATTTAAATGTGTCCTACTCGCGTAAACTATAGACAGTATTTAGATCATTAAATGTTGGACCCGGAGGGGATCGAACCCGTTTTTTTAAATTTCAAATCGAATTTAAAAGTAACATGCATTTCACAATATTTAACTTATTCAACATATATTAAAAGTTTTCTTTGTAAAAAAATCCGCTGTATTAGTGTATGCTATTCGTAATAGTTCCTGAAAATATTAGGAAAACTGCGAGCCATAATATCAGGTCGAAATGGCTCGATCGCATCAATTTAGTGACCTAGAAAATTCCAGCTCGGTATGACGTAAGTTCCACCAGAACTATACGTGGAATTTATAAACTAATATAGAAATACAATTTATTCGCTTATTGTTTTAGCTTGTGATTTGGAATTTCAATATGCAAAGAGAAAACATACGTATTTTTAACAAGTATTTCACTGATAAATTAATATATTTTCTGTTATTGGTTTCGTAGTCTAACAAGACATATTATTGAGAAAAAGTCTACTTGCCCGTAATCGATCTGTAAACGGACACAAAAGTTTTTTTCCCCATGCCCTATGGGGGCAAACGGAATTTCACTTATGTTTACTTTAAGGCAATGTACTTGTGACAGTAATACTTATAGCGTTTTTTTTTCTAACTTGGCAAAAGACCACAATAAATATGGCGGATTACAGATGACACAGGGATGAAAAAAATATTTTAATATTATATTATATATGAACCATACCTACCTTCTATTGTTGTAGACTCTGTTTGCATCCCATCCTTCTGTAAATGCCTAACTAAAGAAATTTTAATCTCTTCATTTACGTAAATGTATCTTTAGATTTACATATATTTTAGTATGAAATTGTCGTTTTTTCTAAGTGAATTTGAGGTAGTTCATTAATTTAAATTATATATTAACTGTCTCAAAGTGTTACTAAATCAATGTAAACCTTGTGAGATTATCACGATTCCACGCAAATTGTGTGTTTGTTTATGCCAAGTTAGAAAAAATACACTATGTGTACTTTGGCATGTATTATTCGCGACCGAAAAGGTTTATTTGCTGAATTTTTGGCCAACGGCTTGTATCCAATCACATATTAGTAGGATTAACGCAAGCACCAAAACTGTGTTATTTCCGTTCAACACACGGAAATAAAGCATTTCAAATAGATTTGTCAACTGGCACGAATGCAATCAGTGCGGTAATAGGATATATTCTGAAAGCTATATCCAATAGGCATGTTAACCGATTCGATTGACCGAGCCAGAATGTTCCAAATTGAATAGGACGCATTCAGGCCGATAGAGGTGTTCAATATAACAGTGAAAAGTAACTAGTGTTAAATATAACAGTGACAATATAACCGGTGTTATATTATATATAACAGTGAATATATAACCGGTGTTATAAACAACAGTTAATTACCAAACGGTGTTGAATATATGAAGACTTATTGTACCCTGTTATATATTGATCATCGCATAACTGATGTAGGTATTTATAGCAGATACAGCAACAAACAGTCTAGTAGTAAATAGCTAGGATAAGAGGAAAAACACATTTCCAAATTGTAAAGATAGGAAAATTTATTATTATTTTGTGATGTTATTTTTATACGTCATAGAAATAGTGTAGAGTATTTTTTTATCTAGAACATTAATCATTTATAACTACATAAAGACAATCTAAAAATAAATCACTTGTTTTGAATTTTAACCAACAAGATATTCACAAAACATAGCTATCAATTTCAGAATCCTTACTTTAACAAAACTCTTTGTTCACTTATGTATAATACAATTAAACAACAAATACAGGCTAGATTATTGTTTATTGAAATAAATAATATAAAATATGTTACCAAGACATAAAACAACTCAATCCTATATTTAAAAGAACAAAATTAAACGAACTGTTTTTTAATCAGTGATTTTTAAAAATCGTTATTTTAAACTATGATATTTAACAGCTTACAAATCACGGTTGCTGATCCACCACTCTCCATCCCTAGCTATAATCAACGCTGCACTTGTACAACGTGTATGTCCATACTTGAATTAGGTTGAATACGTTTTTAAGCCAATTTGCTATAACGTTTCATTAGGAAGTCTCTTGACAATTTGCCAAAGGATAATCCAATACTGATGACTGTACGTGAACAGTTTTGATTCAAAGGAGGTCTTTCAAGAGGTCCTTTTCTAAAACAGAATGTCTGCGTTAGTAATGATGTAAAAATAAATTGTTAACTTTTTTTAAAGATATGGTAACAACGTTAATAGAATACTTTAATTAATAATACGAAAAGTTAAAAATAATTTAAAATATAGTTTTCTAATTAATCTTGAAGGGGAAATGTATTTGTTTGTTTGAACGGGTTAATCTCAGGAACGTTCGAATTAAAAATTATTTTTGTGTTGGTAAGAGCATTAATCGAGGAAGCCTATCAAGAAAGTCGCTGTATCTAATAGCCAAAAACATCGGGAAATGTGGAGAAAAATGAGAAAATTATGTATCAACAAACAAACAACCTAATAGTGGTAAAGATCCGAGTATGTAAGTACCTATGTATATATATATATATATATATATAGACCCGTTATGGTATAGAGCAGTGTCTCGCAAACTTTTTTAGTCTGCGGCACGCTAACTGATGATTTTTATTTCCGCGGCACACTAAGCTAAATTACATTATTAAATACGTTGAGTGGGGGAAAAACCACGCCCAGTGTTTTTCTAACCAATTCGCCCTCGCTTGTGCATCTTGTTGTTACGAGTACCTGCGTTCTGGGTTATTTAGTTAAAGTTAAATTATTACTTTTTGGGTAATTTTATAGTTATCAGAAATTGGTTTATAGATTAATCTCAGAATATCTAGTGCAACTTGGAAAATCTTTTGCGGCACACTTAACATTCTCCCGCGGCACACAGTTTGCGAGACACTGGTATAGAGAGTACAGTCTTTATACTCCGTTCACTTTGTCCAGCCCTCCCACACGTGCCAAATTAGTGCGACAGTAGACAGTACATTATTTTGATATCAGAGGATATTTCCGTTTTACAGATCAATGAATCGACATTCGAGGTACGTGGGCGAAGGGAACAAACAGTCGCGAACATTTATAGAAACCATTTTATTATTCCTTCGACATTAGGCTTATCTTTTGCTTTAGAACTTTTGAAACCAAAGGCGGAACGATGTGTAGGCGGGTTTTAACATATAAAAATAAATGAATAAGTATTATACAAAGGGTTGAAAAGTCACTGGCAGGACTCCATGCTATTCATGCATGGTCAATTGTCAAAAATATTGTAATAATAAGTTTGACAATTTGCAATGTTTAAACTTATTCTTAATCTCATGTAAGTTTTCTTCTTCTTCTTGATTTAAATAAATCTTTAAACATTAACTTTTAAACATTGTAAAGAAGTGTCAGTTTGGTCGTTACATAAAATTTTCTCCATCTGAATAAACAAACGTTGTTCACGTAACTACATCGAGAACCGGCAGAATAAAGCCCGTTTGAAGATTGTATAAGGATATTATTTGAACATTTGTCTGTCTGTGTGGATTTGCCGTTACCCAAATTGCCGATTCATAACTAAGAATTTTAAGGGTTCGAATTCTTTGCGTATCTCGATAGGATACTTGGCGAGATTTAAGTGTGATTTAACGTAGCTTTTTACGATGTTAGATAAAGGAAACTTCTAAAGCGTCCAGGATAAATCTATAATCTTCACTGGTTATAAGAGTTTTATTTGACTAAGTTTATTGTGGAATAAAACCACTTAACAGTTAATAAAACTAAATATATCGGTAAGGTTGATATAGTTAAAAATAAATATTTTTTTTTTTTTTTTTTTTTTAGGGGGGGGGGGGGATTTTTTTTTTAAAAAAAAAAAAAAAAAAAAAAAAAAAAAAAAAAAAAAAAAAAAAAAAAAATTTTTTGGGGGGGGGGGGGAAAAAAAAAACATTTTTTTGGGGGGTTTTTTTTTTTAAAAAAAAAATTTTTTAGGGTTTAAAACCCAAAAAAAAAAGGAAAAAAAAAAAAAAAAATTTCCCCCCCGGCCCCCGGCCGCGGGAAAATTTCCCAAAAGCCGGGGGTGGTTTAAAAAAATTTTTAAAAAAGTTAGCTAATATACATCGCGTTTTAAATCGTTAAAGTGTTTTATTCAAATGTGTTCTTCTCGTGTAAACTATAGACAGAGTTGTATCAACTTAATAATATTGATATCAAAAACAATAGGTAGTTAGTAATACTTTTAATGTAGAACATTTCCGCTTTTGTGCAGTCGGTTAATAAGTAATTAGCAGTATGGCGAAGTACTTTATTATATCTCGGCACTCAGCGTGCGCTGAAAATGAAATCAGAATTTCCATTCGGATACGATCTCTATTTATTCGTTACATTTTGTTTGTTTTAATCATAGTAATTTGTTTTGATATAAATTAAATTGGAAGAGCTTCGTGAATATTGTTTTTAAACGTACAATAATTTATTTTGTATGAGATCTTTGATCTAGCGATTTCCAGAACTTAACAAACTCTAAATGATTATCTGTAAGTCAGAATGCGTATTACAAATCATTGCCAAATTATTTATTCTATGTTTTTATATTATCATTGTTTTTCACGGTCTAGTTGTGTAAGTTATTCTATTCTGTGAAACTATCTAAGGAAATATCTGTACTCAATTTTTTGTTTTCAATTCCTTATTGTCTGTTATATTTCTGTTTGTTCCTGTATTATGAAATAAATATTTTGGGCTGACTACGTATGCGTAGGTACATGGCCGTAACGCGTTGCATATCATAAGCCTCTCATAAAGGTTTAAAAAATAAATTAGCACGATATCTATCTGATTCTACCGTAATCATACTTTAGACATTTTTTATTAGTTGCTTTCGTTGCTCCTTGTTTTGGTTTCTTGAACCGTTTTTACAATAGAAACCCTTATAGATAAATAATTTTTACATTACCCACTGTATCTTCGCGTCTTTTTTTCGCATCGTGATGGTTTATATCCCAAAGCCTTCCCCACAACTGATCTAACCAACACAAAAAAAATCTTACTATTTACTTATTTTTTCAATTCGAACCAGTACTTCCTGAGATAAGGCTCGTTCAAACTTCAAAAAACCTCAGCTTTATATATTAGTGTAAAAATAAATGACCTAAATTTGACCTTACAGTGTCAATTTTAAGAAATAAATTACATTACAGCCCAGAATTTCTAATATTCACTGTAGCTCAATTTCTAAAGCAACCGCTTGGTGTATGCGAGTGGTGGGTGCGACGCTCGCCTTTATTTTTTTTTTAATCTGAACAATTCTTGCTTTTTTAGGATTCGCCTAGAGAACTACGAACAATGGTGTGCTGTGGACGCCGTAACCCAGGGTTGTGCCGGGTCACCTGCTGCTTGCCGTGCTGCTGTAGTGGCAGTGCTGGGAACGCAATTACGAGCTGCTTGTGCTTGCCGTGGAACTGACTTTGCTCAGCTGTACGACTGTCTTGGATGGCAAAGACTGCTTTGGCTCAATCCTTGTGTTGGTAAGACTGCTTTTTATATTTTATATACCTATTTTTAGCTTTGGATATTCGGAAATCGACAGATGGAAACCGAAACGCGATTCAACTTTACGGCCTTTTCATGTGTCGGACGGAGGTTCGAGAATCGAGATCCGGACGGAATTTCGAGATACCACCCACTTAATATTCAGATTTTCAGACGAAGTCTATGTTTCAGATAAATAATAAATTGATTAGAAGCACGTTCGAACAGGCGGACAACGAACCCATGACCCACTGCCCATCAATACATGTATATCTTGACAGGAAGAAGTTTTTCTTTAAGAGACTGATTAAACTTAAAGATCTAAATGGTTCATAAAACTAGTAGGAAATTTTAACTTTATTTGAAAATTATTGATATATAACTTTTTCATGAAGGTTCTCCGAATTTCACATCCAAAAACGATTATTTTAGATCGAAACAAACACTTTAACGGTTTAAAATGCGACATATATTAGTAAACTTATTCAAATTATTTAACTACGGCCCGACTTTTCGGATACTTGGCGACTTTACAGCAGCCGTGGGAAAACATCGGGCAGTATTTAAAAGATTTTTTAAATAAGTTTCACTAAAATATTTGAGGTTTTAAACCGTTAAGTATTTTATTTAAATGTGTACTACTGGCATAGACTACAGACTATTCTAATGTTATAAAATAAATTTTCAGTCGAATCTCAAAGTGACTACCACGTGAAGACCTACGGACCACTCCTAACGACAACTCCGTTTGACAACGGCATCCGATACATCACAGTTGCACCTGAACCAGCGATTCACCACCGCACCACCACCCACCACCACCGCCATACTACTCAACATGGAACATCGGAACACGTGCCTAAGCCAGAAGTGTTACAGGTAACAATCTATTTATTAAAAAAGACCGCCAGGGTATCACAAAGTACCTAGAAAAACGTAATATTATCAATATAAAGAACTAGCTGTGCCCACGACTTCGTTCGCGTGAAATAGTGACTTGGGGTATAATTTGTAATTATTTAGGCTGCTTATTAATTTATGTAATTGCGCATTTATCGCAGCCAATCTACGTTGTAAGTGCTATTTTGCCGTAACACTCTCACCTCACATCACTCCTACTCTAACTCCCACTCCCACTCCTATTCCCAAAAAGCCAAAGAAGAAAGTTTCATTGTTCTAGCTTCAAAAACCGAATTTCCATACAAACTTTCAACCCCTCCCCCCTTTTAAACCCTTACAACCCCCTTTTCGCAATAAAAAGTAGCCTCTAGTCCTTTCTCAGGGTCTAGACCATCTGTGTACCAAATTTCATTGAACTCCGTTCAGTAGTTTTGGCGTGAAAGAGTAACTAACAGACAGAGTTACTTTCCCATTTATAATACTAGTAAGGATTAAGCTATCTGCGTTTCTTATTTAAGGTAGGCACTAGATGCATAAAACAAACATAGTGTGTGGCACAAACTAAATATAAAAAGAAAAAAATATTACGTTTAATGTAACGAGCAAATTGACTGGCTCATTGGTGTAAGGGTAATAATCAAACGAAGGTTAGATCCCCACCGGTGCCAACATATTTTCAATTCTTCTGAAACAAATTGGATGTCGGAAATCTAGATATTAAATGTCTAGGTTACAAACCGTCGTCTACAGATGCAAAAGCAGTTCGGATATTCTGAAATCCACTAAAGTTTCTAGATTTACGAATATCTAAAACCAACATACGTCGACAACACATCCTGTTTAGATGTTATGGCTTGGGAGTTCCACGTACTATGAAGTGTATATTGTTATTACAAATACTGCACTTACCCTGAATAATCTTCTATGCGACCTCCGACAGAGCTACTATATTGACTTCCTAAGTGCCATTTTAAACACTCTTACAATTAATATAAATGTTTTCTTTGAGTACTTCTATTGAAGATCGGAGGATGTGTTCATAATAAATGCTGAACATTTCTGCGAGGGATTGTAGGTTATCCAAGTCTCTTTGTGTCTCAAATCTTTATATTTCTTTACAAAATCCTTGTATCTGCTTCACCCAGAGTTCCCTGTATGGATGGTGGCCCAACTATTAAACATTTAAGCAACTTCCACTGGCTTTAATATCAACGTCTGCTATAATATGAGGTCCCCTATGACCTCGCTATCTTTGAACATTCTTACAATGTTTGTTTCTGATAATATTCCAGAAATCCCGCGAAGAACCAAGCCCGATTACAACCATGTCGGAACAAACAGTCGTACCAAACGAAATCTCCCAAATATCCGAGCCCGCGATTGTGACCACCACGGATTCTACCACGACGTCAACTACAACGACCACCACGACAACGACGACTACCACTACCACTACAACAACACCCAAACCCACCACCTTGGAGCCGGTCAAGTATTGCGTGGTCAAGAAACCGGAGAGCGATGATAAGGAACAGATAATCAGGATGGGTGAGACTAGACGGGTAAGCATTATTGGAAATATAAAGCTTTTTACAACTACCTACGTTAAAATAAGATTTAATTTCAAATAATAATGATAGCAAAATATTTTTATCACAGATATATATTAAGAAATAACCTAATATATGGTTAATTGAATAAAACAGATTTAACGGATCATAATTATAAAATAAGATTCTCTTATTATCAGATAGATATTATCAGTAACATGTTTTAATAGTACATTATGATATAAGTGCGGTAAGTTGAAAATTACAGTCGAGGCGATATTACTAGCCCAAGCCATCGGCGAGGGTTATAAGAAAGCATAGCCTGTAATTTTCAAAGCGCACGTATGTCATACGACGTTTTATAACATACTTACGAGGAAATTAGTAAAACTCTAACTTAAACGATGCGCGCGCATCAACGTTTTTTTTAGGCAAAGGTACAAAAACAGCCAGTATTACTAATAAAGTAAATTAATATTTTTGTGTTTTTGTTATAGATAAATCGTTATAAATTATTGTCAAAATTAATCAAATTAAAGAATTAAATGTTTATTTGTTATATTTTATTTCCCAAAGTTAATTTTATTCATAAAATATTGACCATTTTCTTGACATAAAACCTCTTTGCTAAGATAGTAAGTATCATTCATTTTTAGACGGAGTATCTTAAAACTTTATTTAAAACACGTGCCTTTTACATTACATTATCGCACAAGTACGTAATGAGATATATTTGGTGTAATTACAACCACATTTAATTACACTGCTAATAGTATAAAAGGCGAAATATATTTTTAATTTGTATTTTCTTTAACCATTATAAGTATTTTATTTAAATATGTAGTTGTCGCGTGAACTAAAGACTAAACAAAATCGTTATTATTTTACACATTATGTCCACCATTTATTATTACCATTTACCATTATTGCTTGTAAAACAGCATAGAAAGCTGCGTTTGTAGGTTCGAGTCTCGCTAGTATCAACGATTTTTCTATCATCATTCAAAAATCTGTCTACCTGTACGCCACCAGCTGATATATTATCCACTGTTTCAGCTTTACCGTTCAGCAGAGTTAGCTGAATGCACGGATCTTTGCGTGTGCGAGGCGTCCCTCCAGGTGTCGTGCAAGGTAGCATGCGTGCCCCGCGCCCCTTGTTCATCCCGATTGGCTCACTATTCTCATGCAGCGCCTGCTTACCAAGCCTATCGTGGACGGTGCTATTGTTATTCTGGATCGTTTATCTGTATGCGGCCTAATCCTGGTAAGTGTTTGATAACATCAAATAATAAGACACATTTCTATCAAGTGCTAGTAGCAAACATCTATCTTCTTGTTGTCATAAAAGTAAAGATGTGTTACACACTAAGAACGTGAAGACGGAAAGTGTTCTTTCCGTTCATTAAACAAATTTAGACTCTTGTTTTTAACTGTATTAATGTTCATATGTGTATCTAGTTATCTAAATGAACTATTTTGACTTAGACTTGATTTGTCAACCGTCATTATTTCTTATCTAAGGGAATTTGATTTTAAAAGCTCAATTTCCTCACAACGCAAACTATTAGTATTACATCAGAAGAAGTTACAGACATATTTCTTAGTATATGTTACTGATCGGTTTCTTATTAACTGATTTATCAGGCAACTCAGCCCTGTCTGACGAAATTGTTTAGTTTTTTAATACTGGATTTGAATCCTTGGGATAGAGATAAATAAACAATAAATCAAAAAATCTCTTAACTGTCACATTGATCTTAATAATACATTTTAGTTTTTACCAATAAACTATGGAACAGGGGGAGAACACATCTTCTAAACGAAATGCTTGAAAACTTCTGAATAGTCGAGTCGTAGTTTAAAATCAACTATACAGTATACAGCGTTTTAGTCAGTCAAATTCTATATTTTTAAAAAGATTTGTTCATATAACACAATACAAAATAATATATATTTTCAGGTGAATATAGGCTTCCGGAAGGCGTTTATTTACTGCTAGGCTTTAGTTCCGTGGACGAGTCTCTTTTGCGCCCTCATACAGGGTTGGGTGCTGAAGACGCCGTCAGGCTGTTACAACAGTATATGCACCACGTCACCAGGGAAGGGGTATGTACCTACTACAAGTTTCTTTATGTTTTAATATTATTTTCATTGAAGAAACCTTGTATATTTTTATATTGAAGATAATCTGAGTTTTTATTGTCCACAATTGTTGTTCACAATATATTCTACACAATTACTTTGAACGGGCTATTATCAGAAACGACCGGATCGAATAAAATAATATATGTTGGTTGGATCATTTATCGAGGAAGGCTTTAGACTATAAAAGGAGCGAAGCAACAAAGGAAAATGTGGAAACAACGGGGAAAATATTTATCTTTGAGGAATCCTCTTACGAGCGCTGCGAAAACGGTTCAAGATATCCAAAAAAATCCACTTAATAATGATTATTCTTTAAATAATCTAAAAAAAACCGTGACCGTAGATATACCGTCACGGCTTTTCTATCTCTTAACTGTTTTAATAGCAATCAAATTTCACCGAAGGTTTGCCATGTCAGCTAGAGCATGATAAAGACCATTTCAATAACTTCACAGACAAATTGCACCCTCACATTATTTAACATCAGCAACGAAAATGTCATCATATCGGCCAGCATTCCGCAGAAGGAACAAGAAACTCTCAAGGAGGCTGGTGAACCTCTTCTAGATAAAGAGAAGGTAATATTGCTATTATAATGCTAATATAATATAGAATGGCTACAGGGGGACGAAATATCACACAACAATTACATATATTTCTATGGATACTTGACTTGATATTAAATAATATTCCACATTAAAAAATGGTACTTCTGATGGTATTATCCCCTGCATCCTTAATATCAAGATCACTCAGTTATTTCTTTATCAGGTTTTAGCGTTGTTCTATTGTCAGACGAAAACAATAACATTTAAATATGCAAATTCTTTGCCTTTAGCGCGACAATATTAATATCTATAACATCTACCGCGAAAATTATTTATGGCTAAATACAATATGCAAAATAAGTCATTTTGTCGAAATCCAATGCGAAGGCTTAGCTTTTTTAATATTACATACGGTATCTTGAAGTTTTAAAGCTATCTGAAAATGATTACCAGCCTCTCATATCATTTGAAAATTTGAATAGTACAATTTGCTTCTAGGAGGCCTGCATCGATGTACTCAAGATCATCAAGTCGCGCATCAACAACCAACACGAAGACATATCGTCCCACTTGCTGCTCTCCATCTTCAAAATAGCCGAAGTGGACGTCGTCTACCCCACTCCCCCCGCCTCGTCCTCACCTCACATTTCCCCCCACAAACTTTTATACACCTTCATCATATTTATGACCCTCCTGCACAATATTAATTTCTATGTACTTTTCATAAATGTCGTCAATTGTTTGTCGAATTTACACAAATCTAGATGTAGTCGGGTGCGAGCACGTCCGCTCGCTCCCCCAAAGAATTATATAAAAGATTTTTTATCTATTTTGAAATGTTACGAAGAATTTATTGAAACTAGTGATGTAGAAATGAGAATCTCGCACGACGCACTCGCTTTAGGTAAAGCACAAGATATCACAAATATATTTGTAAGAGATATAGATGTATATAGCGTTAAGGAAACGAAACATATCGTGAAAGCTGTGAAAACAATATATACTCATAATGATCTCGTTGCTGACGCAATGGAACCTAAATATTTTTCTAGAAATATGTATTATATCGGTGTCGTTTCGGAGATGCTTCTCGGTGAGTTCTTTTTTGAAAAAATCGCGTCCTTCTCTTATGGGATTGTGCAATCCGTTAGTTTAGGGCTAACTCTAGCAGTAGTATGAAGACTGAGATGAACTAAACATATCATTATAGTTAAGTGTATTAAGTTTATTTTCGACTAGAACTGGTGCTTGTAGGTGGATCTTAAGGCTGGGTTTTGTAAATAAATATACTACGCCTTTTACACTATTAGAATTCTGTTCAGGCTCTGATAGTGATCATAGTTTTTTGATACAAATGAATATTTCATTTCCGATACATTCAAATCGTGAATTAGAATTTCATTCTTAATTTAAACTATTTCGATATTCTTTTTAATCCCAGCATTGTATTCAGATTCATGAATTTCTGCAGTGGTGTATATGGGCGGGTTTAGACAGTTTGTAATAAAATAACTTACTGTGCGTTTGATAGATCTGTAAGGGCTGATCCGGTCTCTAAAACCACAGTTCGTTCGCAGTTTGACAAAATGTTATGAAATAAAAAAATATAGTGTATCCATACTATCCGTAAAGTAAAGTTTCGCTCGAATCCCACTCCAAGCACGATCAGATTCGAAGGAATCCTGTTTTAGCGAGATCAATCGTAGTCCAATCCATTAGACGGAACTGCACTTTTTCTGCATCATTAATTAAAATCATTTATTAATACAAAATGTTACACTCTCTATAGTAGAATACTTCTTTCTTTTGCAACTACATTATTCTCATTGCTTTATATTTTCTTCTTGTTTTGCTAATATTATCTCATTTATCAAGAAGAAGAGAGAAAGTTCAAGGACATTTTTTACAATAATGTTCTAATACATCCGACTTGTTTATTGACAATTCAAGACTAAATCATGAACTAATTCAGATAGTATAATGAAAACATGATCGAGAACAAACTGTGGACGGCATTATAGTGAGGATTGGCCCTAATTTGTCAGAACTAAAGTAAAAACATGGACATGGGGGAAAGTATCATGAACATTGGTTAACCTGTACCCGCAAATATTGCATATATTTTCAATTGGAGTGGTCATTGTTTTCTTCTTCTTTTTCTTTCATATTCACTTGTATGAAAAAACCGTTAAAATCTTACAATAAGGGTAGAAAGTGTTTTAGATACATGCGCCTTTCCGTTAGATAGGGGTTGTCGATGTATGCACGTTAGAATGAGTGTATTTAGCAACTCTCATACAAAACCACTTCGATCCAGGACCTACTTCCAGAGAAGCGTGAGTGAGCGTGAATTAAAGCAATATTTTTCAAGTTTGTATGACAATCGAAATGAGCTTCTATAACTTAATGTTACAATTACTTCATGGCAACATTTTTCTTTCATTGGAAGTTGCTAAATGCCGTCAATAGTTAAAAATATAGATCACCTAGATAATACTTCAGAAGCATTGTAAAATGCCAAGTGAAAATGGTAAAGATGGAAGCTTTAATTTGAAGTAGGGATAGTTTCTTGTGTTCAGGAGTTTTAACAGACTTAGACTGTCAGTGTACCGTCTCGTCTTTTAGTCCCGCTTATCCTTTTGTAGACGGTCTATAGATGATTGTTGTGTAATTATTTCTATATTAATGTTAGATGTGTTTCATTTAGGGGTTACATACGTTAGAATATTACAAGTCACTAGTTATTAGTAAAACATCTTGAGTATGATAAAATCTATTCGTAACTCAATCTTTGCTACATGTTCACTCCAGCTTGTGACTATTTTAAGTGTTTATTATTTGAATTTAATTAGATTTTCAAATATATTCACAGCATCACTGAGAGCCTTGTGTTGTAGTTTGAAAGACATTTTACGAGCAATAAAGTTTCTATGATCACATCTAAAACATATAAGGTATGGTTTAGAGATACTGATCAAAATTTTGATTTGATTTTGAAATTGATCAAATTTTAATGTACACGAAATTTAAAAAAAAACGCGCAAGCGAGAACGAGGCATATCAAAAAGCTCAATTTTATACTTATTATTAATAGTATAGAAGGAAACGGAAACATATCATTGTAGTTTAGTGTTTAGGAGAATTTATATAGCTATATAAAATCTTAGAAAATTGGCTATTATTTATTGTGTATAACTGTTCTTTTACATTCTGTGATCTATAACAGACTAAACATAATATGTATGTGTTTACATACACTTTCCTTATTAGTGGAAGGTGTTATTTTGGTGGCAACCTATGGGGAGCTCCCAAGGTGTATGCATTCGTTTCGTCACGCCACTTCGTCTGACTTCTGATTACTGTTAGCGTCACATGGCGCACAAATATTTTTAAATTGAGATGTAAAATACACTATCAACTATTTAAAATTATAGACGCGATAACTATTGTTTTGTAAGCATTTGTTATAATTGTTAAATAACACTACTAAACGTATTTTTTGTCTGTACACATGTGTAACACAGACAAATAAACTGTGAGGCATGGATTGAAAATATTAAATTTGATTCATTTATTTAACAACCTATATCACCCTTTTATAGAAATATTTCTTGTCATGTCACGTCATATCGCCAAGCAATATATTCAAACACTGTCTTGCAGTTAAGAGAATACGGTCCGTGTCAATTAACTAGACCATCTACTATAACTTCTTACCAATGTTTAGCTGCGACAATTCGAGCGAACGCGAACGAGTCTAGCGAATGAAACAATTAACTTATCACGCCACGCACCGCAATGATTAAAGTCGCGCGAAGAGTCGTTTCGCGTCGCCGTTTGCGCAGCCATTCTAGTCGCCGTTCGCGTCGCCGTTTTTCGGAATTAGATATAAAAGTCTCTAGTTACATCGCGCGGATTACATCTCAGCTCACTACGAGCACATCTCATACCATACATGTAAATAAGTATGAATATTTTACGAACACTATTTAGTATTTTCTAAAATATATTTAATTTTTTAATAATAATATTAAATTATTTACACTGCACTGCACCGTATAAGATGTATACAGAACTTATGAAAGTTATCACTTGACATATCAAATTTTTATTGAAATAAGTTCCATGAGAATTAAAATAGCGGTTAAGATGTCTTTGTATAACTTAATTTGTTGAATAAATATTGTCTGTAGTTTACGCGAGTAGTGCACATTTAAATTAAACGCTTTTCACGGTTTTAAATGCGAAATATATTACTTAACTTATTATTAAGTTAGTTTATCTTCCTGTGGTTAAATTAGTTGACTAATACATTTCTCGTTTTAAGCCGTTAAAAGTGTTTCGTTATGATTTGTTGAAGTATAATTTCTGTTGATAGTTTTATGAGTATATTGTATGTTATGTTGTATATTGTCTTTTGTCTTGAATGCATGTCCAAATATAAATCATTATTTACCTATAACTAATTAATACTTTGTGAATGAAATATAATTAAAACGGACATGTATTAATTTTAAGGTATTAATTAATTTTACAGTTAATTTTCTGTAATGTATACTTTGTGTGTTAGGCAGATCGATGTTAACAGTTTTTGCGACTGTAGTTGAATGTATAGCTAATTATAATGTAGTTTTAACGTCGATATGAAATACATTCTTCTGTTCGCACAATAGCATCTGATATATAAAATTCTTTTGTTTATTTATTTTTTTATTTATTTATATATTATATTTGTTACTGTGTTTGTCCGCGAACTTCTAAACGGCTGTACCAATTTTAATATAATTTGGTATATACATTCGTTAGGACTGAGATTATATTTCTAACCACTTTTTGCCTCTTACACACACGTTTAGTTACATTTTTATCATATTGTGATATACATATATGGTAAAACTGTCTGTCCTGTTTTCTTAATTCTAGTGACTAACACATACTAATGTACATTTTAAGTTAAGAATTGATAACCAACTAACACTCATTAGATTTATGGTCTGACAAATATTTTTTTTATTATTATTAAAACAATATATTCCGGGTCAGCTTTTTTATAATATATTTATATACCATATTAAATCAATACACTGGTACAATATCTAAATGGTAAGTAACCTTTGTAGCAATTTAAACATTTGTTTTTAGGTAGTTGACAATAGCTGTGAAATTATTAAGTTTACCGGCATCAATTTTTACTGTCACTATCGCTTCGTGAGATAGAATAAGACTTATATGATGCTACAGGCACAGGTTATTGGTATGAAAATTATTCTCACATTACTTTTGGACTGTGTATACTTGGAATATACAAAGCTGAAGAGTTTGTTTGTTTGTTTGAACGCGCTAATCTCAGGAACTACGGGTTCGAATTGAAAAATTTGTGTTGGTTAAAACATATATCGAGCAAGGCTATAAAACATCGCGTTGTTACTAATAGAAAGCGAAGATACAGCGTGAAAAGTGAACGAAACGGGGGAAAATTTTCATCTCTGTGGGTTTCAGTTGCGTACGCTGCGAAAACGGTTTAAGATAACTAAAAAATATGTATGAAATAATTATTTCTCTTTAAATAATCTAAAAAACGGTCTGCGACGCTATATGGCTATCTTTTAAGATTAACTTGCAAGAACGACGGGAAGGGACGCGATCGACGTCATGGCTAACAGCTTAAGTTTATAAAGATGACGGGGTTTGCAAAACTTTGTTGAAGTTGCTGGCACAGCTAGTACATATAGATGTGGGATGTAATGTAAGAAGAAGCGAGAGGATGTGTGTGAAAGAGACGCAGAGAGATCTAAGATAGCGTATCATGACGTTCATACGTCATGATACGCTATCTTAGGTCTCTAAAAAGCAATGGCGTATTGTTTTAAAATCAAGACGCAATTAAAGATTTATCAATATTTTATTTTATTTTGATAGTCGCAAAAATCCCAACGTATATATTTTCTCCTCACCTTTCTATATTCCCCAATTGGTTTGTAATATTATTAAATGTGTCCTATTGTAGATATATTTCATATCGATGTTAAGTCAATCAATTGTGAATAAACAGCACCGTAGTGATATGCGTAACAGAGCTTCTAAGAAAAAATATTGTTTTGTAAGTACACTATTACATATATTATTTACCCACTCTGCCTGAAAGAGGTTCTGTCGTTTTGTTGTAGCTAAATAAAGTGATTCGTATACATCCGTGTTTTATTTATAGTTCGATAGGTGTACTGGCAAAAGCCAAAAGATCTTCAAATCAAAACGCTGCAGCAGAGCGTATAGCTGTATAAATTTATTCCATGATTTAAAGGCCTTAAATATACATGTAAAAAGATTAGTTTATATGTTGGTATACTATGTTGGTTTGTGGTTAGAGGTGAAGTACTGTTCTTGCTATAGTTAGCAGTTCAATGTATAAATAAATATGGTTCATAATTAACATTAAAAAAAAAATCAATAGCTAATAAAATAAAGAGATAAAGAGAATTTATGTTAAATATGTTTCTTCGGCCCGACGTTTCGTTAAGTTAAAAATCATTTCCAAATAAGTTTAACTAATACATCGCGTTTTAAACCGTTAAAGTGTTTTATTTAAATGTGTACTACTCGCGTAAACTATAGACAGTATGAGATTTTATGTTACAGTTTTAAGGAAAAAATATATAAGTATTCTTTTATAATACCAATAAATTTTTAATATTATAAAGATTGGTCTGCTTAGATTAAGAAAAAAATGTTCTTTGTAATTGAATGCCTATGGAATGTTAAGAAATGTTATCTTACATTACTCAAACTACAGCTATACTATGTCTAAGATTACCTAATGTTGTTTAATACTAGAAAACCTTAAAATATATCATTGTCAGTAATCTATGATGTTCCTTGACTGCATCTTAGTTGAATCTAGGTCCCTATACAAATTTAAGAAAATTGTTATTTTATTGTTATAAATAGGGTAGGTTAATAACAAATATAAACAGCTTTTAGGAACTTACAATAATTTATTAACAAAGCACAATCAGTCTCTCAGAATAAGTAGGAATGGAACGTTTACAACTATCTTATTGTGGTTTATCATTTGTGCCTTCGCTTTGATCCTTAATTTCTTTGCGGACGGGACCAGTCTGCGCTATGGGCACCTTCCTCTCACCTTTAATAGTTTCTGGAACAGTCCTGGGTGCCGTTATCGTGAGTACACCATCTGATGATAGTTTCGAATCGACCGTCTCTGGTAAAGTTCCATCAGGTAGAGCGTACTTCCTCACAAAGTGACGAGAGATGAAACCGTGTTCGTCCTTCTTCTCTTCGTGTTTACCTTCAACAACAACGTACCCGTCGGCGGTTTTCACAGTTATTTCCTCTGGCGCGAAGTGCTGAACGTCCAAATTGATCTGGAACTTGTCGGAATCTGCCTTGATGGTGGACCCGACATCCCTAGCAGCAGCAGCAAGGTGACGCCAGGGCCTGTAGTATTCTCTCGTCAGGAGTGGTCCAGCGGCTGCAGCTAGAAGATCACTTGGTGCCAAACCAAGGCCAAAATGCTGGTCGGCGAGGCGACGGGGTTGCGAGTAAGGCCAATCTTCGAACAAGTATGGCAAAAGAGACATTTTTTCAAATTATAGTGTCGCAGGATAGATCTCACTCAATTTTTCGCTTAAGTAGCGTAACAATTGGATTTCACAATTCGACTGCCGGGTGAGTCGTTATCTCTCGTATTTATACGCAAAAAGTGCCATCTACCGGCCAGTGGAAGATTCTCGTTGAAGGCACGATACGTACGATACTGTACGATAAGGCAGACGTTTAACACCTAAGGGTACTGTAAATGTACACCATTGTAAGGGTATATTAATAATGTACACCATTGTATAGGGGTGAAAAATAAAACATTTCCGGTACAATCTATTATGACTAAATTAATTTTGTAACTGTTAAACATTAAAATGAGTACTACACACGAATCAATGCGCATATAACTTTAACTAATTTTATTACTTGACAAGAACCTAATAAGTTTATTAATTTAATACCTGCTACTACTATTATTATGTTGAGTATACCCTATGAAGGATATTAAATTACTATTAGATTAAAACACGATTAACGGTTTAAAATGCGAATTGTACTAGTTAAACTTATAAACTATTTTAACTACGGTCTTTTCCGAACTCGAGGAAGTTCTACGAAGTCTCCCCATCCACGATCACGAAAGATGAGTAGTAAATAAGTTTAACTAATATATTTCGCGTTTTAAACCGTATAAGTGTATATTTTTTTGTACTTCTAACGTTAACTACATAATATAGCGTTTGATTTTAGATTACATTAAAATTCTCGGACTATAAAAATGTTGAGAACTTCTGGCGTTCAAAGAGTCACTGACAGCGTGTCTGGAACATACGAGAGGGTTCTAGGTCATTCGAGGACATGTCTGGCGATATTGCGAATTCTAGAATGTTACAAGTGTAATTCAAATAGAATTTTATATTTGAGAACTAAGAAACTATATCTAAATCTATATTTTTTATAGCAGTGGCGCTTTAACTTGGTCAAACAGAACTAGAATTTACGAGAAAAAAATATGTGTGTTCCATCTTAGATACCTACTTTGTTTATTTTTTTTTTCAATAAAATACTTTAACGGTTTAAAACGCGATATATATGTGTTAAAATTATTTTTTTGTTGCTAAATAATTTTGGTTAAATAATTAATGTTGGTTAAATAATTTTAAATTTGGCTACTTGACAACAGCTGCTGCAAAGAACCGAAACGTCGGGCCGTAATTAAAATATTTTTAAGTAAGGTTTACTAATATATAACGCATTTTAAACAGTTAAAGTGTTTTATTTACTGGGGTAAACTACAAATAGTATTTAATTTTTTAAGAAAATACCCTACTGGGTCTATGTTACGTAAACACCTATAGTTACTCTTGCAATTGAGTACAATTGTTTACTCGTCATTAACCTTAATTAAGCCTAATAAGAATTGAGAACAACAATTCTAGATTTATTTCATACGTCGTATTAATATGTAATTAATTAAATAGGATTTTTGATCTTGTTACCCAATTAGATAAAATGAGGTTTAAGATGTAAATAAATAAAAGTGACTGTAATCAACGCGTTCATAACATAGTAGAGACATCGCACTGAAACTAGCGTTATTGCGGTATTTATTATAAAAAAAACATGTATACAATTTTATATATCGCACCCCTAGATGAAAACACTAGATGGAAACTTTTTCAGAAATGACTAAAAACTGGTTTCGGAGTATTTACTAAAGATATCGAGTATACTAATAATTATTATCATAGGTAAAGTTCTAGAGCCTTTTTAATGACCTACTTTTTAATGCTATTGTCACAAAAGTTAAAAAAAAAACTCATTTTTTTAGTTAGTTGTGTTTTCTTTAGGTAATATGAAATTTTCGGCGGATTTTTTTTTTAATTTTTTTCGATTTTTTTTTTCAACGGTCGAAGTTAGCGTTACCGGAGTTTGAACTCCGTTTAGGTATTCATGGCGGGATTTTGAAAACGCCACTAACTCAATTTAAGTATTTTTTGAGTTAGTGATGTTTTCATCTAGGGGTGCGATATATTAGATTAAAATAATTTTACGACGCGGGCAAGACTGGAATCGGCACCCACAACGTTCCGTGCTGCTGCTCTCACCAATTGAGCTACCGTGTCAAGTCTCGCCCGTGTCGCCTCGATTGGTTCAATATAAATGGATTTTAAATTTATATAACGCCTAAAATGCCAAAGTTAAAAAATATAGTTTTATTTACATATAGGTAGGCGTTTATTTAACGTCAAAATTTTGGCACATACTCGGCATAACATGCTCAGTATTTGCACACAAAACATAACTCAAATTAATTTCTCTAACAATGTAACTAAGGTGTTTACAAAACAGTGAAACGCCGGCGAATATCGTTCAAGAATTTTCGCGAAGTTCCAATGTCCGAATTATCAGTAGGAGTGAAAGAGATAACCGAGTGTAACTTCTCGAACTTTCTACTCCGCGCTAGATGGCGTTAATCACTATAAAAGCGGGCTGGGAGCGCGCCAACACAAGTCATTTTAAACTAGCGATCGGAGTGAATAACACGCTAAGAAACGCGATCATTTAAACGATATTTGTGATACCAGTGACTGAGCATTTGAAATAATGTCCCTATTACCGTACATGTTTGGATACGAACGGCCATACCGCCCGAACCGTTTGATGGACCAAGACTTCGGTCTAGCGTTAACACCTGACGACTTGTTAATGGTTGTAGGCGCCCCTATGATCTCCAGAGACTACTACCGTCCCTGGAGGCAGTTGGCTGCTGCAGCGCGGGACGTCGGCTCCAGCATCAAGGCGGATAAGGACAAGTTCCAAGTGAATCTCGACGTCCAGCACTTTTCGCCGGAAGAAATCTCCGTGAAGACCACAGACGGATACATAGTGGTCGAGGGCAAGCATGAAGAGAAGAAGGACGAGCACGGGTTTATATCAAGGCAGTTTGTGAGGAGATACGCGCTACCTGAAGGTTGCCGAGCTGATGCTGTGGAATCTAGACTCTCCTCTGATGGAGTGCTAACCGTAACCGCGCCTAGAGTTCAACCCATCGCCAAGAACGAGAGACACGTACCAATCCAACAAACGGGCCCGGTCAAGAAAGAAATCAAGGATGCCACCAAAGAGGAAGACGAAGAACCGAAGCAAAAGGATAAGAGCAAATAGATATTCTCGAACTTTCCATCATTTAACTAGAGTGTATTTAAGAATTGGGCTAGTAACTGTGAATATAGTTAAGTTTTCAGACTAAAAATGTCGCGTGATTTGTTTTTGAGACTGATTTAATTTTGCTTGAATAAATATTTACGATTTTAAGTTTTGATTTATTTTCATTATGTAGGTAGGGTAGGTAAGAATATTCTCATAAGATCAGATTTACTTAATAATTATATTACACGTACTTAGGTATATTGGCGAGTGGCTAAATTATAAATTATCTGTACTAATTTCTTTAACACTATTCTGTATTTGGAGTTTACAAACACACTCAAACTCGCACTAAATTACAGTTAAATTCATGCTTTGTACGAGTATATATTGTAACACATTTAAAGACATCGCATAGTAAACTAATAATATTGTTCTCTTTCAAAAAGTAATGCTTTTTCCCTTAATTCGTCCTTAGCTTAATTAATTCAATGAAAAAAATTAGTTAATTAAAAATTCGGAAACATGTAGGACCCGATGGAGATCTAACCCATGACCCGATGATTATTAGCCATACATTAGACTAACGAGCTCGTCAGTTTCAGTTGACAGTGTTACTGATTTAAGTAAGTTTCAATATTGGATTAAATGTTTTTTTAAATATAATATTTGGAATTAAATTATGAAGATTTATTAAATTTATAAATTAAACTTTAAGCTAATTATTATACTCATATAATCATAATATTTGAAATTTAAAGCCTTCTATAGCATAAATGAAGAAAAGAAATAAATAATAACACAAAAATAAAGTTACATTTTTTATTGCTAGTCAACTTATTTCGTAAATACACAATGTATGCTTTAATATTACATGAAGAATCCCTCATAAAACTAGTAATAAATTAGATTCCGAATAAAAATCCTAAATTCCTAAAGATTACACCTCCTTAGGTTTTTGTACGCATAATACTCGTGTTTTTAAAATGTCAAATGATTTAAATTAAACACTTTAACGGTTTAAAACGCGATATGTTAGTTCCGATCTCCCCGTGACCACGGCTGCTGCAAAGCATCCGAAACGTCGGGCCGAAGTTAAAAATCATTTTCAAATAAGTTTAACTTGCACGCGTTTTAAACCGTTAAAGTGTTTTATTTAAATGTGTACTACTCGCGTAAACTATAGACAGTATGTCAAATGATCACAAAAAAATACTTCAATACAATGCTACACATAACTTCTAGAATATTCCAAATAATTCTAGATAAATGAGAATTATATCACATAATTAAGTTAGTAAGACAAAAAAATCTACATTTGTTAGATTTATTTTACGCGTATTACGCGTGGCGATTTAAATAAAACACTTTAAACATTTTAAAACGCGAAATTATTTAACTAACAGCCGCCATCACGAAGAGCTGCATCGGAAACGTCAGGTATCAATTAAAAATAAGTTGACAAATATTTTACGCGTTTTAAACCGTTAAAATTTTTCATTCTGACAAATTGCAGTTAAATCATTTTGTCTTACAATGGAGAAGGAGGAGTAGGTCTACTTGGGTAGGCCTCCTAGCACACCAGACTAAAACATACAACTTTTGGTAGTGGATATCAGCACCATGTCGTGTAGATAATTACATCTACAGGCAGTTAATAGCTTATTTTAGTAGTTTTTTGTAGTTCTAATAAACATTTGTGCCTGTAGGAATCTATTATAGGGCTATTCTAAGCTAACTTACATTTGAACACAGCTTATATCACTATTAAGGCACTAAAACATAAGTTAGTTATCACACTGTGCTTGTTAAAATTAAGAAACCAGTAAGGAATCCCAATAACTATGATTAAGACCAATTTTTTTTTTTTTGGTCAATCATATTTGAATTAGTTTTTATTAATAATACGTATACACTAAGTTACTGTAACATTTGTTTACGACCATTCAAGTTTTTGTCTTCATATTAACTATAAGACTGTGAAACAAAACATAGTATGCATATACAAAAATGCCACAAATGTAAATAATATAAAAAAACTTAGTATTTAGTGATAAAATGCAAAATCAAAATATTCGATTAAATCTCGCTTCGAAATTTAATCTTATACTGAGGTCATATTAAGCAATATATTAAATTAAAAAACGCGTACTGATATAAAATTGGATTAAAAAAAATCAACAATAAAGATCTCGAATTGCAAACTAATACTCTTTAGTAATACGCAAATAAAACAAAAATAAAAGTAAAAACGTAAAAAATGTCAACAATACGGAATGTATCAAGTTTGCTCGTATACGTCGTTTGAAACGTAACCTACGCGCACGCCGTAAACACGGCACGTTTAATTTTCATCTACCCTCACCGGAATTGATTCCTTCAACGTCGTAATTAACCCTCGTGTGTCCATCTAAATAGTCCATATTGGATAGCTGTCGTTTAATCATCAAATGCGGCGTTTTGCGAACTTGCCGTTCCTTTATAAATTTAGGGATCATTTGCTTCCTCTCCATCATGTACTGAACTATAACCCTCTCGAAGAACAACGCCAACACAAAATTAAAGCTCGCCAACGCCAAAACTACATACGCCATAAGCATGTCGTTCGGCATTTGCAATTCGAGGAAATCCGCGAGCCACTGCGCGGGCGCAACCGTGATGTATATACTTATAGCTGTCATAATTATCATGCTGACCATTAATTGCTTGTTTGTGACCACCGATTTTCTATATGGCGCACCATGGCTGAAGACCACAGCCATTGTTATGTATTGAAACATGGATACAGTATAAACGGCGTAGTTCTCCCAACATTTATTCGCCTCTTCGCCCTCATACGTGTGCCTCACGTACCAAGGGAAATAAGTCAACGTCAGGTAACTTAAGTACTGCGCAAGAGTTATGAGAAACATTTGTCCAATCAAACTAACCAGAGGTACGATGCCGAGTAGAGAAGTTAATGGCGGTAGTTTGCAAAGTTTGCCAGTGTACGCTTCTGTCATGCCGAAGAAGAACGCGAAGTTGACGACAAGAGCGACATCTATGAAGAGAAACTGGAAGTCCGTTAGGTTAGCGTCAAAATAGTAGAGGATAGCGACCGAGATAAATTCTGTGAGAGAGTTCGCGATCATGAATTTGAATACGCCGAAGCTCGTGGTGAGGGCGGCGCGTCCCTCCCTCAAGACCCTGGATACGCAGACGATGTCTGGGTGTTGGGAGGTGAACGGTGCAGCCACGCTGGACTCCAGCTCAGACAAGGATATACCGGTGTGAGCCGCGCGAAGAGCGCCGCAGTCGTTTGCGCCATCGCCGCACATACCTGGTAATAATTTTTTTTTATCGATTTTACCTACATAAACAAGTAAACTTAACAAAAATAAACTATTAAGGAATTTAAACTGTCTCTAATATTCTTTTAAGTATTATCTGTAGTTTGCTCGCAGTAATTATTTAAATAACGCTTCTAACAGTTTAAAACGCGAAATATCTCAGTTCTCTTTTTATTTTAACTAAAAGCCGGCGTTAAAAATAAACCAATACTTTTCACGTTTAAAACTGTTAACTTTACCGTTAATTCTCAAAAACACAGTAACAAACGTAAGACCGACAATTCTGTGATCAAAAATGATCAATACTATTTCATTTATTTTCACTAAAACCCAACGTTAAAAAATATGTTAAATCAATGTTTTTAGCGTTTAAACCCGTTGAAATATTTTATTCAATCTTCATATTCTTAAAATAGGACAGGAACGAACGAAAGACTAACTTGTGTGCCCAGCCCGATCGAAACTATTCATGTTCCCGATAATTCGAACCCAGGGCCTGAATGTCAACGTTATAAGACTGTCTCAACTAACCAACGCAATTTTAAATAAGCATAGAATTATTAAATATACTCACCAACGTAATATCCTAGAGCCTGGTAATCTGTGATCAGCTGCTGCTTCTGGTCGGGAGACATCCTGGCGAAGACGGCACCTCTTTCTATAACTGGACCAACCCTCTTAGGATGAAGAGTCCGTAGTAACTGAAACATAAATATAAATGTCTAATGGGTCTAAAAAAAAAAAAAAAAAAAAAAAAAAAAAAAAAAAAAAAAAAAAAAAAAAAAAAAAAAAACCCCCGGGGGGGGTAAAAAAGGCCCCCCCCCGGGGCCGGGGGGGGGTTTCCCCCCCCCTTCCCCCCCCGCCCCCCCCCCCCCTTTTGGGTTTTTTTTACCCCTTAAAAAAACCCTTCCCCCCCAAAAAAAAAAAAAAATTAAATTTTGGTTTTTTCAAAAAAAATTTTTTTTTTGGTTTCTTGTCTATTATAAATAAAACATGGACGAAGTCGCTGGCACAGCTAGTATAGAATATAATTTCGAGTGTGTCTTTATGGCAGATGAGGACCGGCATACAGGTGGCTCACATGGTAGGAAAAATAACCCAAACATATACTTAACAAGGTGCGATGTCGACCTATTTTGGATTTGGACACTCGGATATCCACCGACTTAATCTAAAACGCTATAAAGTTCATGGCAAAAAGAAAGATCAATGAGAAAATTTTGTTGGTCTTGCCACACATTTAACATCCAAACTTTTCCAAAAAAGTCCGACGTGTAAGTGTTTCAGAAAAAAAATAAAATTAATTACAAACACGTTAGACTCGATGGAGATCGAACTCGTTCGGGGTTCGATCTCCCTCCCGTTGTTTATTAGCATTAGATTGCTTCCAATCAAAGATCGAGCCGCATCAATAGTTATCTGTTGACATATATACCATAAAAAACTCACCCCCCAAGCATCGCCGTTCATCACCACTTTATAGCTGATTTTCTCACCACCTTCTAAATCCCCTCGTCTTTTCCCCCATAAACTCCCTCCGCTGCTACCACCCCGATCTCCCCATGACGCCACTCCGCTGTCATCAACTTTGCGGGACGTGTCGAAAGGTGTCATGTCCCCTACTGGTACCTGAAATTAGAAAGATTAAGAATAAAGGACGGTTACACATCCCGCACTCCGATGGCATGGCAGACAATTTTCTGTGACCGTTACATGGATTCATTTTATATTCGGCAACTTTAAGTTAAGTAAGAAACACAATTTAAATTGACTATATTGTTTAATTTTTCTTAAACATATTTAAATTGTTTTTACTAGGAATATACTTTTAAATAAAACATTTTAAGTGCGAAAATAGTGTATATTTAAGGTAGGTAACAACTGCGTGTCAGAATAAAGTTATATATTTCTCGTTTTAAAGCGTTAGCGTTTTTATTAAAAAAGTATTTTTTTGCGCATTTACATTATTATTATTTTTTAAATATAATGCAGTTTTAAAATAGAACTACTGACCCCATTTAAACTACTCTGACAGTACAAAGCCGGTTCTCCACCAACTTGCTGCACTGTTAGATGAACTACCCTCTCCCCGCTGCCCAGGATACCGCACTCTTTTGCCACGCTTACTGCTGTGTGAATGTTGTCACCTGGAAATACATGTATTTTTTTAGATAATGTAAAGAGGAATCATTTTTTCATACACATTTTTGTATCTTGAACCGTTTTTGCAGCGTACACTATAGTTTTTTTTTTTTTTTACATTTTTCGCTATATCATCGCTGTTATTAGCCTCAGGGCGATAACAAATGCTCTAACTAACATACAAATAATTTTTCAATTCAAACTTGTAGTTACGGAGATTGGTGCGTTCAAACAAACAAACTCTTTAGCTTTATATATTTGTATAGATTTTTTATGGATACCGATAGACTTTTAAAATTCAAAATACCCGTCCATTTCGCTTCACTAAGGATTCGAATCCCGGACTCAATGATCTGCAGTCGACTGCACTAACCACTATATCAAAGAGACATTTTGAAATACATGAAAGTCAAATACATACCCGTGATCATCACAATGTGGATATTCGCCTCCTTCAGTTCCCTTATGATGCCTGTCGTAGCAGCCTTCAGACGGTTCTCCATTATCACCAGGCCGAGGAATTCCAAGTCACATTCTATCTGAAATAATTATACATTCAGCTATATAAAGGAAAAATCAATTTTAGATAAAAAAAAAATTGCGCCAAGTTGCATTTTCGTGCTGTTGCTTAAACCAACACGGTAGCTCAATTGGTTCGAGCAACAGCACGGAACGCCAGCTTAAGTGCCGCCTGTGTCATATTTTTTTCAATCTAAAACTAATTTTAATTCATATAGTGCCATCATATGATCAGACTTCTACTAAGAAATATCACCTGTTCTCTATCCATTTTCTGAAGCTGTCTTTGGGTAGTTTCGAGAATTCTAGTAGACATGGCGATCACACGATATCCTTTCTCAGCATACGAACTCAACACTTCGTTAAGATTGGCTGGGACTAGAAATAAAGTGTTATTATATATAATATTTAAAAAATTGTATTCGGTACTAGTTTACAGTCCACACGTCCAAACTAGAGCAGCTTGGTGGGTCTTATTTTTTCAAAACCCAGCAGTAGAACTATCATCTATACTATTTTAAAACTGAAGAGTTTGTTTGTAACGTGCTAATATCAAGGAAATTCGATTTGGTTCGAATTGTAACTTACATTTCCAATTTACAATTTTGTTTATGTTGGTTAGACCATTTATCGAAGGAGGCTTCATAACACTACGTTGCGACCAAATAGGAGCGATGAAACACGTGGGAAATGTGGAAAAACCGGGGTAAATAATTCATTTGAGATTTCCGTTGCTGGCGAAAACGGGTCAAGATATCCAAAAAACATGTAGATTGTCTATGTAGGGTATGTCTTTAAATAAAACTAAAAAAGTTCTCGACAGTATATGTCTGTCTTAAGAGATTCACATGAACCGTTTTTATGCTAATCAAATTTTGGTCAAAATACGAAAAAATATGAAAAAAGGTTTGCCAGATCAGCTAGGATGTTCTAAGAGCAAGCGAAGCGTTAAACCGATTCTAATACTCACCAGTTTCTGGTCTGCACAAAGTCCTCAACATCTCCGGTGCTCCTTTACAATAGACCCTTAACACATCTTCACCAAGGAGCCGAACCACAACCGAAGACCGCTGCAGTGTCGAAACGAACTGGTATTGCTGTACTATTCCCACTTCTAATGGCATCTGGAATCATTATTTTTTTATGATAGAGGAGAACATATAGCAGTAAACAAAATGCGGTGTCGACTTATTTTTGCTTAGGATATTTTCATACAGAATTTAAAAGAAGACACGTTTTTATTTAACAGTAGAGTGACAAATGACAACATAGTCTGTTACGATGTTTCGTTATAAGATATGTTGTCAACCTATTTAAGCTTTGTTAAATAAATGAAATGAAAATTACATATGGGTAATTATGATTTTAAACGTTTTCTGATTTTAAATTATTTTTTTCTTTCTTTCATTCTAAGTAAAACACTTTGAACGGTTTAAAACGCGTAATGAATTATAAACTATCTGTTTCTAGCACGGATGCTTTGTCGCAACATAACAAATAATAGTTATAGTTAACAAATATATTCCGCATTTAACCGTTCAAAGTGTTGTATTTAAATATCTCGAGATTCATTATTTACATACGGTACCGTAAGTACTCGTGTATTTAACTTACATGCAAATCATCTACGTTGATATTAGCAGAACTTTTAGGCTTAACGATGGTAGGAGTAAGGATCTCATAGTTTGTCAGTTCTGGTACATCTGGTTCTTCTAGTAACCAGCCGGTGGATTCAAACATCTGAACATTTAGAAGTAAATAATCTGTTATTAACATTACTTATAATAAAAAGAAACATACAATTATGTGAATGAAAAAAAAAGTAAAATTTTAAATTTTGTGCTCAACATAGCTTGCTTATCAAATAACTATATACTATAAATTTTATTGCACGATGGCGTGTGAGACACGGTAGCTCAATTGTTAGAGTAACAGTATAGAAGTCATCTTGTGTGTCATCAAATTTGTCATACCTTTTTCCTGATATAGATTAATATTAATTTAAAATTTAAAAGCTTTGCCTTTAATAATAGGTTGTGTTAATGTAATTTAAACAAAGTCTATAAAATCGAGTTCAACATATTCATAGAAAACCCAAGTGGTAGAATCATTAGAGACAGGCCAACGAAGAAGACAAATTTTAAATATAGCTACTCCAATAGATATTTTTATTACATTAAATTATTTGAAAGACCGGCTTCGAGCTCATCCCCACTCCGTACTTGGCGAGAAGTGAAGTCTGGGGGGGGAATAACTTACCAAGTGATAATAATTGATCAGGTAATGAGAATGATAAAATATGATTAAATTACTAAAACAACTATTAAAAAATAGGGTTTGGTGATAGAAGGACGAAAATTTAGCGTTGTATGTATATTTTTTTATTGCCACATTGAAAAAAATAATAAGGACTAAAAATTGTAAGTAATCGATTCTCAAAACCACTTAATATACATATACATTATAAATAGGTGAAAACGTTCCAGAGGAAAATGGTAACACTATTTACACGAGATTTTTTATATAAGACAATACTTTGATTAAAATCACCTTCAAATCCAAAGGGTCTCCGGCCATTTCACCGTGTAACAATGTCAGACTGTGGCATGAAGCCATCCCGATTTTCAATTCGTGAATGTCGTTCAGCTTGCTCGGGTCTCGTAGCGCCTTTCCAAGTAACGGTGGTGAAGTAGCATTGCTTACTGCGACCACGCCCCACATGTCTAAGCCCTCTTCCGTCAGTGTACCTGTCTGTGGAAATATATTTTTTATGACAGATGTAATATATCAAGAAAATGGTCCATTATATACTTTTATACACAACCATGCTAGTAAGGTTTGATAAAAATCGATTTTAAATTGAAAATAGTTTACGACGCGGGCAGGACTCGAAATGGTAGCTCAATTGTTCCGAGCAACAGCATTCCGTTCTGTTGCTCTAACCAATTGAGCTACGGTGTCCTACACGTCATCGTCGAATTGAATCGAATGGAATTGTCAACCTATTGATACATGCAACTCTCGCGCAATGTAATTTCAACCTTAACATATGAGTATTCGCAAGATTGAAATACGGTTCTAAGAAAAAAATATTGGTCAGTAGTTGTGTAGTATGCGTACACGCAGGTCTTGTATTGATATTAAAAAAAAAAAAAAAAAAAAAAAAAAAAAAAAAAAAAAAAAAAGGGGGGGGGGGGGGGGGGGGGGGGGGGGGGGGGGGGGGGGGGGGGGGGGGGGCGGGGGGGGGGGGGGGGGGGGGGGGGGGGGGGGGGGGGGGGGGGGGGGGGGGGGGGGGGAAAAAAAAAAAAAAAAAAAAAAAAAAAAAAAAAAAAAAAAAAAAAAAAAAAAAAAAAAAAAAAAAAAAAAGGGGGGGGGGGGGCACAAACAAAAGGGGGGGGGGGAAAAAAAAAAAAAAAAAAAAAGGGGGGGGGGCGGGGGGGGGGGGGGGGGGGGGAAGAGGGGGGGGGGGGGGGGGGGGGGGGGGGGGGGGGGGGGGGGGGGGGGGGGGGGGGGGGCCCCCCCCCCGCCGCCCGGGGGGGGGGGGGGGGGGGGGCGGGGGGGGGGGGGGGGGGGGGGGGGGCCCCCCGGGGGGGGGGGGGCCCCGGGGGCGGAACAAAAACCCCCCCCGGGGCCCCAAAAAAAAAAAAAAAATTAAGGGGGGGGGGGGGGGGGGGGGGGGGGGGGGGGGGGGGGGGGGGGGGGGGGAACGGGGGGTTCCCCCCGGGGGGGAATGGACAGCCACCCCAACTTTTTAGTCTTGGCTTAATTTTGTTGAAAACAAAAGAATACGAATAATGAATAAACAAAAACAATTTTTGTTTGTTGATCACATTGGATAATAAAACAAAAGACTTTACTTACGGACACTTACATGAAAGTGCAGGTTCGATGCGTCTTTGTTATAAAAGTTTTTCTTTACACAATTCAAAAGATAAATTCGTCTATTAACAAAGAAAAATGAAGTTATTCGCGTTCTGATTTCGCCCTGTGGATTCCCAAATATCCAAAGCCATAGGTCGACAGCGAATTTCGCCATGTTATAAAGGCTCCCGAATAGTTCCCCCTATCATAAAAAAATTACCTTATCAAAGCATATGCAATCCAGCGATCCGCTGACATTAACAGCCGCAGTGTTTAGGCAGGATATACGCGCTCGTTTCAGCCTAGCCACCGCGTATAAACGGCCTACTGTCATGGCCGCTGGTAACGCGGGGGGGACTACTATAGTAATTATGTCCAGAGCTTTAATGATTATATCACGGACTGTCAATGATCTGTAGGCCTGAAATAAAACCATTGTGCAATTGAGTGACAGTGACTTGTTTAATAAAAAAAGCACTATAAGCGTTAAAAACTTAAAATATATTAGTTAAACTTGTTCACAAATAATTTTTAACAACGGCCTAACGTTACGGATGCTTTGCAGCTGTCGTGGTCACGAGGAAACGTCGGGTCGTAGTAGAAAATAATTTGTTGAAAAAACTAACCCTTACTAATATGTCGCGTTTTAGTTTAAAATTTCTTATTTTTAAAATTACTTATTTATTACGACTTTAGTATTACCACACACCATGAAACAAAAAGTATAGGAAGAAAAAATCTTAAGTATTATATACTTTATTTTCTTTATTTATTAAAAACCAATCACTCATTTTTACAGAATAATTCTACCATGATAGTGATAACTTATAAATAAAAAACGGCCAACAGGGAGAAAAATATATGTAACAATCAACGGGTCGTGGGTTTCGATTTATAATGTTTCTGAACATAACGTCGTCAACTATGAAAATTAAACGGGTCGTGGGTTATCGATCCTTCGATTTCAGTCTGTGGACTTCCTGAATATACAAAAGTACGTAAATTATTGTGTGAAACGGTTGGGGTTCTTCGCCTTTAAAGTAACCTGCATGCTAATCAATATCAAATCATCAATTTATATATATATATGAACATATATATACATCTATCGTCCTGTACTATAAAACTGCTTGGTTATAGGAAGTGAACCCTGGGATTGAATTGTCAAACAATGAACTGCAAACAATGTATATCTGTTTGCCAGTTCAACTAATATTTAAGGGGGGGGGAGGTTTAAGCTATTATGTACCTGCTATATAAAGAAGTAAGAATCCAGTTCAAAGGTACATTGGAAATTAAATAATTATTTTTTAATAACATACCTTCAAACCAACAGTGTATGATAGTCCCAAAACAGCAATGCAGGCCAAAATAAATAGGAACTTGTATGAGTCTCTGTCGAATTTGAAATCTGCTGGAACCGGGTACAAGATGCTACGGACTAGCTGACCTTTGCTGGTGTTGTATCCTGTTCTCAATACCAGCGCCCTGGAATTAATGATCAGCATTTTTTACATGCATTTCTTAAAATAAAGCCAAGTGTACATTAAATACTGAATGTAGTTTAGTAGTACACATTTAAATAAAACACTTTAACGGTTTAACTACGGTCCGACGTTTCGGATGCTTTATAGCAGCCGTGGTCACAGGGAGACTAAAGTTGGAAGGTGTCTCTGACGTCAAAGTAAAAAGCTGCTACGCTAGCACCAACTGTTCCGTCAACTGCAAGGACCCGGTCAGTTTCGCCAAATATCAACTTTAACGGTGATTTATTTAAATAATAAACATATACAAAATATGGTAATTAAGGACAGAACCAAATAGTATTTTTTGGAAAATTCATAAAATATTATATTATTGATTAAATAAATAGAGATATGTTAGTTTTTTCTTTGACTTAATCAGAAATATTGTACTTTGTTTTGATTTCTATATATATACCTTAGGTCAAATTGGTGTTCAAATTTTAAAATAATCTTTCCTATCCCAACTTTCTCCTCAAGACGATAAACATTGGATTTACTCAAAAATTCTTTTTGCTATAGAAATTAACGCTGCTTCATACTGGCACTCCTGGGATGGAATCACATGAACAAGTGTCTAATACATTGTATATACCTTGTGGAAACAGCGATAAAATACTTCTAACGGTTTAAAACGCGAAACATATGCGTTACAGTTAAAACCGTCGTTTAAGAAATTATAAGATACTGACCTAACTGGCTCATTATTGTAATAGCGCGTCTGCTCAACTTTAGTCCCACAGAAGAGTATACTCGAATTGTGCTCTTTCAAATTGAACTCTTTGTCAATACGCTGAAGGGCGGTTTTCGTAACTGGCACAGACTCACCTGGGAAGAGATAATATAGTATTAAATTAAAGTAATTTAATTTTTTTAGTAACAAAGGTCCTAGATTCGAATCCAGAAGAATCGATAAACTGTTTCGGTTGAGACGGGCATAGAAGTCTAATCACCTCCTTGCCTATAAATAAAACCCACAATGGACACGACAAAGAAATTTGTCCGCTCTGAAAAGCTGCCTCTTCATTAGAAAACCTTTTTATCGTATTTATTAGTGTAAAATTCACAATGCTGACTATGTAGATAAATAATAGTACTTTTTGTGTTTTGTTGTCGGTGTTTCCTCGTATTTATACCCTAAAAGCTGGACACAGGTTGCTGAAAAAGGTTTTAGACCTTTGACCCACCACGCTGCTTCAGTGTTTATTTTAATAATATTTGGAAAACTTAATAGCTTTTAGCGAATAAAAAGTATAAGTAACTTAAGGAAGTTTTCACTTATTGATGGGATCGTGGTTTATGGGTGTTCTGGACTACCACCGCGATATGTAATTCTCAGAGGTATTTAAGCACAAGACATGACATTACTTGGTCTTACCAGTTAGCATACTCTCATTGACGATAGCTGATCCAGTCAGCAAAGCAAGGTCACAGTGCAACATGCAACCGTGACCTGGTAATATCACCACATCTCCTGGTACCAGGGCTTTACTGTCAACGCGTCGTCCACTCCATAACTCAACTGTGTCATGCGCTTCTACTGTGGCCCGAAGGCTCTCTTGGTTCTAGAAATATATGAATAAAGTAAGATGCAAGTAATTTATTTAATATATTTATTAAGCATAATAGTAGTAGTAGACATTTAAATAAAACCCTTTAACGGTTTAAAACGCGATATATAAGACAATTTTATTCGAAAATTATTTTAACACAAGGAGACACTTGTCCACGGCTGCTGCGAAGCATCCGAAACGGCCGTAGTTAAAATAATTTCCAAAAAAGGTTAACTAATATATATCGCGTTTTAAACCGTTAAAGTGTTTTATTTCTATGTGTACTACTTGCGTAAACTATAGACAGTATTTAGTAATAGACATGGGAACTCTTAATTCAGCTAAATAATTATATTTGATTAATAATTATTATTAAAACAGTAATCAATAATAGGGAGAAGTAGTATTTACTAAGTATGTTTTGTTGTTTACGACAATTAAATCTTTTAACGGTTTAAAACGCTAAAAATATTAAGTAGTTTTTTTTTATACTCAATTCAGTTAAGGTACAAATTATTTTCGAAAAGATGTTCAACATTATCTTATTTACCTTTTTTGTCTGTACAACCGATGTGGCAACACCAAATGTCGACATTAGTACCACAGCAAGGCAATAGTAGTAGTACGGTTCAGCCAACCACACGGCTATGGTAAACAGTTGGAACACGTAGAAAGGATTGAATACTTCTAGAAGAATTAATGCCAATACAGACTGGACGGGAACCTTAATCTCGTTCAAGCCGTAGATATTTAACCTGAAACACCATTATATTTTCTTTAAGATACAAAAATAGGCAGAACTAGGTATAGTAGATAGCTTTGCAGCGTAGCTTAGCGACTTCGTCCGCGTAGAATAGTAATTTGGGCATCATAATAATTATTTTTGCAAACAACCTCCTCGGCTTTATAAACTTCAGCTTTACCCACGTTCTTACGAGTTAATTTTAAAAGAAAGACATATAATGACACAGACGTTTTTGGTATTCTTAACAGTTTTAACAGCGTACGCAACAGAAATTAATAATTTCCCCCGTTTTATTCCCCTCTGTTTCCTCAATCCTATTGGTGGGAGTCTGATCTTTATTACCTAAATCCCTCCTCGATAAGTGCTCTAACCAACACAAAAAGATTTTTTAATTCAAACAACTACTTCCTGAGATCAGCAAACAAACTCTCCAGCCCTATAATATTCGTATTATAGTAATATTAGAATATTCTCCTTTCTCTAACCCATAGCTATAGAGATAGAGTTACTTACATTCTCAGTCGTCTCTCACTGCAGGGTGGCTTAGCAGCCAGGACATGCAGCTGTGCACATGTGGTACCTCTTTCTACACCGGCTAATCTGATCCACTGAGCTCTGATCGGTTCCCATATTAAACATTGTTTTTTGTGTTTAAAATACTGATATTGCTGTACATCTGAAATAAGGAAACCAATAAAAAACCAGCCAACACCGAGGAGGATTTACACACAAAGGATTCTGTAGCAGCGAGTTATTGGTTTAAAATATTTAAGTTATTTTAAGTCCTGTAGTTTATCAACGTGATGTAAAGAAAGGCTTTTTTTTCTATAGAAAGTAACGGCGCTAACGTGTTTTATAAAAGAAATAAATGTTTTGATAATAACGTGTGTTCGAGTGAATGATTTAGATCGTGAAGCTACTACATGGCTAAGAGACATCCGGCCGATAACATATTCCCGACTGCAACAATCCTTGGAAAATATTCTGCTGTGGCTGTCTGGACTACAAATATTTTTTTTCATAATTTTCGGTATTTTTTTAAAGGAATGATGTAGTAGTTTGGCTATTGGCTAATGTTATACATATATACCATTTGTGAAAATTTCAAGTTATTAAACATAGAACCTGGTGACAAAAAATTGAACACAATACTTAATACGCCAGGGTTTGACTGACTTTGAAATGCTTTTTTTAATGATAAAGGAGGGCAGGCTAGCAAGGAGTTCACTTGATTGTTCACTTCAGTGATATAACCCAGCCTATAACATCTAAATAAGTTGCGCTGTCGACCGATTTTAGCATTGGATAATCGGAAATCCACAGTCTGAAACCGAAACGCGACTAAGCTTCACGGCTTTTTCATCTGTGGACGGGATTTCGTGATTATCAATCATCATTCAGATTATAATTAAAAAAATAAGAAACATGCGACCGAGCCTGTCAAAGTTATTATTGAAGTTTCAAAGAACTGATTTAATAAAGACAACTACTACATCAACTACTAATGTAATTAACATAAACATGACAATGGATTATCTTGATGCTGCTGGATGTTATTTCTACTTACTTAATAATGTACCATCGTCCAAATGTATTGGGGTGTGTAGTGTATCAACGCTAATAAGGCGCTTTTCATTCTCCAAATCCTCTTCGAAACCTGCATTTAATAACCCACTAAAACAAGTTATTACTTATTATGATAAAATTTGGAATATACACATATTTAAAAAACTTTTACATACCTTGGGTCAGTTATGTTCTTTGTCAATATTTTGTGGATGTAGTGAGTTTTGCATTTCTTTTGGTATGTTTCCTGAAAATATAGATAAATTAGTTACACTGTATTGAAGATATCTTAGGAAATATATTGAAAAAAAAACTGAAAGCATCAAAAAGAAATTAGTATGTTTTTGTCCTCAACAATTGGTAATGATGGCGATAGGAAAGTCAAAAATGTAAATAAGGTTCTTCATTCTAAATAATCTCTATTATTTAACTAGTTAATTTTACTTAATTTTTATAAGGAATGTCTGGCAAACGTCTAGTTAGCTGTATTGTATAAAATAGTGTTGTTAGTTTAGAATAAACAAGTTCCTATCTTAACTTACAATTATTAATACTTGGTCAGCCTCTTGAAAGCAGCATCTGATGGATGTAGCATACAGAAGAAGTCTCGGCACCCAATGGAATACCAAAAACGGTAGACCACATAAAAGAATAGATAACAAATATGTTAAATACGTCCTCCATTTTGTCTTACAGTAACCATACACAACCTGGAAAATGCAATAATTGTATTTATGAACAATGACCACTTTAATCCTAGTATTTGTTAGTGAATAGACAAAATAAAGTTATATTATAATATTACCAAATGAATTGCAACATCATTTATGAAACATTTATCAATTTTTTACTCAACTATAACATCCTGAAGTGATAAGCTTATGTTACAAATTTTAATTACAAAGTTTATACATTTAAATCAACTATTGAATAATTAAAAATATTATGATAATGCATTTTAAAAAAAGCATGTTTCATATAAAGCTAGCAATAATAGTAGCATTATTGCTAGCTAATTAGATAGATGTAATAGTGCAAGAAGGAATAAAATACCAAATATTAAAATGACTAAATAATATATAGGAAATAATAAAAACTAAATTAATATGCATCAAATGACAATAAATACTTGCAGAAACAACTTATGGAAGAATAGGCAATTCTAGGATTCATGTTACCTGATCAAAGTCGGGATCAATGTTCAATCTTTGCGTATTAAGTTCATAAAAGTCTGTTCTTTCAATAGAGCCATACCGAATAATTGGCTGTACATCATCATCACTCATCATGTTTGCACTTTAAATACGTACTGAAATTCTTTACTCCACTGTTACCACATGTTCTTACTTTTATTGGCTTAAAGGTTGATTACCTTTGTAAGGGAGTATTATCACTTATATCCTATTACTTTGATACTTTACACTTTACCACTAATTACTTTGCAATGACCCATAGTTAAAATGCAATTAAGGTACTCTTCTAATAAAATGATTAATTTTAAACGGCGTAAATTTTTTAATTCATAACAATAGATGTGCTGGCTTATGTTAAACAAATTACGATATTTTAAATAAAGTCAAGGTAGGTTTAACAAAGAAATGATAAAGCTAACATCACTGAACCGGGATTATACATTTTTTTCAGGAAGTTAGGACGATTTGAATTTTAGGGGTAAGAAAAAACTAGAAATGTTGAATAGGAAAATGGGTTATGGGATTAACTGATATATGATAAGTGATAACAATAACAAAGAAGTAAAGAAGTAAGAACTACGAAAGGAATTGGTGAGCTCACATTAGCTGTCAGTTACACATAACGTCAAGACTGACATATGTCATGATCATAGATTAACGTCGTGTTATTCTTTTGTAAAGAGATATATAATAATCTATTAATAATAAATAAATAAATATATCTATTAATTTAAAAAATGAGTAGGCAAAAAAGATTGATAAAAATTTTCTCCTGTTTACTTTTAATCATTAATGTCATATCGTAAATTTGCAGTCGCTTTGAAAATTTAGGACTTCAAAAAAGAAGCTGCAACTTCTATTTTAAATAATGGTGCATAAACCCTATTCAAGTCCTATTGATTATAGTTAAGCGTTTGCGAAGCACTTCGCTAGCTGAGTGCCACCATTTCTTGGATTATGACTACACTGTCGTATTAAGGGGTTTTTTCAAATACACTACCCACTACTTAATTATATACCAATTAAAAATAAACAATACTAACCATTTCACTATCATCATAATTCAAACATTGTTTCATACTTAGAGTCATAATATCTTGTTGCTTATAATAAGAATAAGATTTGGTGAACCTGGAACAAATTACAAAAATGTTACAGTTTATAAAACAAAATATAAATTAGAAAGACACTATGTATTAAAAGTATCAAATTACAGAAAAACAAAAGAAAATATTATATTGTAAAATCTATATTATAGTCTGTGCCCATTTTCAGTGATTGACGTATAGTTACGATTTGACATTGACAGACACTAAAATAATAAAGCACTAAACGATGCCTGTACAAAACACGCAAAATTTATCAAAGTATCAAAACAAATTGAATTTAATACAGAAGAACTAAGAAAGTAATTCGGAAGATATTTTTAAATCTACATTTAACATTATATACTAGGTAAGTGGTCCTGTAACCGTTAAGTCACTGATATACATGAATTACAAAACATTATAACCTAAGAATATATGTCTTATAAATTCTAAAGATATTGTCTTTTTTGTCATTTATTGACCATTTATTGTATTTTTAAATGATTTAACTTTCTTGAAAAAGCAAACGCCAATACGTATCCTTAATCCTTGCGCCTAATAAAATAATAAAAACACAACGGAAGGCAAGACTTGCAACCAATTGTTTATCGATAAAAATACTTTCACATAACTTTAAAAAAATATACCTAGTGTATGTACATTATTTAAAATATAAAATAACGATATAGGAAATGTTTATCACCTGGAATTGTGAGTCTTTTAGTTTTAATTCTGTTTTTGTCACTTTAAATGAGATAAGACATAACCAATATTTTGGTAGAGCCCGGACATCAGTCCCTTAGTTAACTAAATTTTTTTAGATTCTCTTGATTTATTTTAGTTGGATTATTCTCGAAGAACACAACTGTTCACAGACTATTAGCTACCTTTTATATTTATAAGCACTGATAATAACAATGTTTTATCAAGCTGTTAGTTTGGATTGTGGCTATTATTGTGTGGGAAGATTTTTTATGAATTATTCCATTGTTTCAGAATATAAGTAACAATGATAATTCCAGTTCGTTGTTTCACTTGCGGTAAAGTAATTGGTAATAAATGGGAAGCGTACTTGGGCCTTCTGCAGGCTGAATATACTGAAGGGTAAGATAAATCTTCCAATTAATGTAACTGGCTATTGCCGTTTTAATTGCTGTAAATAAATAATTTACACACTTTTCTTCTTGTAGAAACTGATTATAAGCATCTCTGTGCACAATAATAAGGGGACTTTTAAATCTTTCAATGGCAACTGCCATTTTTAAAAATGTTTGGTTACAGTAAAATTATACATCTAAAATTTTGGCATTATATAGCCCCGGAAATGGACCATTGGTGTCCAATTATTAAATACATAGCCTACCTCTTAAACATACGGGTACATTTATTTGGTGACTGGCTAAAACAGTAAAATAATGACAAAACATCACAATTGTTTCCAAAGTTTTTTTTTAGTTAATCTTTAAGTTTGGTTGATGTATATAATGACAAGACAATCAGCCGACTTTAAGGAAGTTGTTGAAAAAAAGAAGAATAGTTAAATCATTAAATGATTCATAGTGCTTATTTGCAATTTGGCCATACTTTTAACAAAAAAGTTACAAACAACAAGAAAAGTCTAAGCCATTTGACTTAGTGCAGCAATCAAAAATACTAAAATTGTGTAAGGCTTTCACGTCTATTGGCGATTACTTAAACAGATATGTGTCAACAAAAATATAAAAAAGTACAAATACTTTATGCCGTGTTCACATATTCTTGAATTTAGTTTATTTTATAATTTTAAACTTCATGAAAATCAAAATGAATTCCAAGATTTTTAGACTTATACATACACTATGTTTTAGACAGCCATATTAGTTTACTATTTTGGCCAGTCATTAAAAAAACAAAGTCATATAAAGCTGGTTTTTATACATTTTATTGTCACTTTATTAAACTATGTGCTGGTAATCTTGATTGTATATCCTGTGCATCAAATAAGCATATTGTAAAGATTGTGTTATCTATTAGCTTAAGATGAGTATTAAGATTTTATATTAATGGAATTAGTATGAGCAAACTCAAACCCAGTTTACATGTGTTACAAATCATTCATGTTTATTTTAACAAAAATCAGTTCTAATAAAAAAATATAAGACTTAAAAGATATATTTTAATTTGCATAGTACAATGCTTTGGGTTCAAGATCCGTCTGTGTCGTGAAAATTTTCAATATTAAATCCAATTCATAAAAGCTCTTATGTACAATAAAGCATTAGCAGATTGTCAAAAAGGGAACATACGAGGAAACAGGATCTTATATAGACTTAATTAATGCTAACCTAGACATTATTTCACTTCTCACAAACATACATTTACATACACAGATATATACTTATTTACGCATATATATATATATACACAGAATACACACACACATTCATTTTTAGCTAACTAAGTTTTATCAACATAATTTAAAATTTCATCTTATGTAACATGGGAAGGACACCACAGTTCAAGTTAGTCATAAACTTACTGGAATAGCGTCAATACAAGTTGTTATTTTATTTAATAAGATGATAATAGTTTACACTGAATATCTTTAATCAATTAAATATGATTTCAATGTTACAGTGATGCACTCGATGCCCTTGGTCTAAAGCGGTACTGTTGCAGAAGAATGCTTCTCGGACACGTAGATTTAATTGAGAAACTTCTTAATTACGCGCCATTAGAGAAGTAATTAATTCTATAATGTTCAGGGATTCTCCTATTCTCTTTCTCGTAAATAATAATGTGACTAAGTCTACTTGGGGGATTAGAATAAGCTAATAATAAATTAATTTTAAGCAGCACGGTGTTTTATTCATCCAATTCTTGGTAATATGTTATTTTCAAGTACATTGCACTTACGAATTCGTTGGTCCAATGGTAGCACCATATCGTACCCCCCTCCTTGCCCTCTCTAAGTACGACCATGGCGTCTTATATTTTGCAATATAATAGTCATATCGGAATGTTAAAGAGGTTTGTAATAGCATGTTAGAATTACGTCATGTGTTTATTGAGGACGAGCAGTTACAAAATACAATTACATGTGTTAGTCGTGACTTAAGATAGAGTGATAGTAATTACTTTAAGTAGCAAGTAGGGCAAACGTTTCCATAAGAAAAATATGAATAACAAAATGTTACTCAGGTGGAAAAAGTCGGGGATAAGAAATAAGTTACTAAACTTCAGAAGTGGGATTATTGTGGACCATGTAACGTCACTCGATTTAACGACAAACTCTAAAGCGTCAAATTTTGGTTGTTTTAGTTTATTACGTACTTATCAATGTATGGCAAAGAAACTCCACATAGCATTACATCCATTTCCTATAACGACAACAAGTGAATACAAAGTACTTTTTAAGTTGTATCTAGCTTTGGGGAATTGAACCAGCAAAAAACAAAAAACGAATTGTGCATCTATACAAATATCTAACAAACGGAGAATATTGTTCATCTTTAAGGACTTCAAGAGACCCAAAAAATATGTATGAAATGATCTAAAAAATATCCGCGACAGTATGCCTATCTTTTAAGATTAACTTGAAAGAACGATGTGGTGGTTAACAGCTATAATTGTATGATAAATAAATACTTCAACGTCGTTTGCTCGTCATCTTTATGAGGAAAAGCAAATTTTGACGCCCAAAATAACTATTCTATATAGACGAAGTCGCGGGCACAGCTAGGAAGTAAATAAAACTTCGGTTCTTAATATAATCACAATTGTTACATTGCGTCATATGTCATTGATGTTGACCTACAATATGGGCACAAAGGTAACTTAATTGTTTTCCTCAAAATATTATGTAGGTACAAGCTTCCTAACTGCTAAATGTATACTTGGTTACGTAAACGTTTTAAAAATTACATAGTTTTCACAATATGTTAGTGCACATGGAATTATATACTAATCTGAAAATTTATTTAGATTAAAAAAAAAATAAAAGTGAACTCGCATCTACGTTCCGTGTTCCCCTAACCAATTGAGCTACCGTGTCTAAGACTAGCTCAAGTCTAGTTAGTTTAGCTAAGTCAAGTTTTTCAATCAAATAGAATTTTAATTTACCTAAAAGTTATTTAAAGAAGTTTTTATTATAAGTAATTGTTTTCCAAATATCAATTCGACAATAATTATCATTTTGCGTTTTTCTGAGAAAAACAAGGTTATTTTTTGCACTTTAGTTTTATTTAGTTATGCACAATTTCTTTTTAACGTTCGTTCGTTCAATGCCCTAAAGGTAGACGACTCATTTTTCATAAGGGAAGACTCTCTGTTTCTTAAGTGATGATTAACGTCTTCTGCCAAAACTTAATACAATCCACTCTTCGACACTAATAGGTTACGTGGTAACTCTTATCTAAAAGTTACTTTCGAATCATCATCCCATTTCTGAAGTTTTTGGTAACTACTGTCCAATCTCCAATTATACCACGTGATTTAGTATATAAAAACGTTTTACTGTTTATTTATTCTCTTTCAATCGCCTCCACGTCTCAATAATTGCATTACGTTACGATGAAAAGGCTTTTTTTAAATTTCCCCGGCCCCCTTCTCCCCCTTTCCCGGAAAAAACCCTTTAAATTTTTCGGGGGGGGTACACATTTAAATAAACACTTTAACGGTTTAAGTCCAATAGTTACTGTTTAATGATTTTAAGTTCGCGATGGCGCCCCTTTTTCTTCAAAAACCTACCAACTTTAACGGAACAGATGGCGCTAGCGTAGCAATTTTTTCCTTTTAGTCATTGTCATCCTATTTAGTCTCGTGACCAGGCTACTGCCAGAGTTAAAAATCTTTATGTTATAACCTAAAGCCGCTTTAAAAACCTTAAAAGTGTTTTATTTAAACTTACTTGTCTAATTTAAAGAGTGTTTAGTAGAAGTAGTTTTATAATTAAACAAAAAGAGAAGTGGACGTATTTTGTGCCTCAGATTAACAATAGTTCACAGACCACAGCCCTCCAACGCACAGAACCGTTGAAGGCCAGATAATGCGGTTTATATTATTCGTATTTAACAACCGTAGCGAACACACCTTGAAATCCTTTATGTAATCAAGCATTAGCTTAATATCCATGTAATAATGTAGCTATGAACCTTATTTAGTAGTGAAAAACATAGTAAATAAAAATGCTAACAGGCTAGGCTCGTTGGTCTAACGGTAGCAACATATTTATGTAATGTAATTTTTCTGTAGTATGACTTCATATGGAAATCTAGATAATTATTGAAGGGATTGTAGAAATAGCGAGATTCCCTCCGAATCACGGATCACCACAAAAAGAGGGCTTGGCTATTTTAGCCTTCATCAAGTTAACTCTATGCGTGTTTGTCTTTTTAGTGAACTACTGCCCCGACTTGGTTTGCAGGTTATTTTTAAAAATTCCGATAAAACACCGATGAAGAAGGCGGCCATATTATCGTTGTTTGATTGAGTTAGGAAGAAACAAGTGCATTTTATGTTCATAGAAATGTTTAGTATAAGATAGGAAAATAATCAATTTTCCTATCTTATACTAAACATACATTAAACAAAAGTGTATGTATAGTAAAATCAAAAAAATATGATGTTCACACTAGCTTTATTGACTGAGCAAAACAGTAGGCTGTTTTTAATTTATACATAAATCATGTCAACAATATACTGAACGTTTTTTCATCTGCTAAAACAGTCCAAACTTTATTTAATTTAAAATTAAACACAGATGGTGTTGTTAATAGCAGGTTGTATATAAAACTTCAATATTTTTCAAATTTTATACCACATGTTGGCGTTACATAAATTAAAAATCTGTTATAGTAGTAGCACAGAACGATTTTGTTGCCGGTTCGAATCCCGCCCGCTTCGTCAATGTTTAAAAATCTAAAGAGACTTTTAATTTATAATAGATTGTAAATTACACAATAGTTACCTACTTATCGCGGTCAAAGCTATTACTGCCGGCCACTTCTTCCCAATAAGTGTCATCTAAACACTAATAACTGAACTAACTAACAATATTATGTTCTCTCGCCACTTTAAAGTGTTTGTAAATTACTTTTACGATAACGGTGAAAACACATTAGTAAGTTATAACTTATGTCAATTCTCCTTATGAAATCTTTGTTTCTTTGAAAAAAATCCCCTGGCTAACCAGCATTGAAGTGAGCTAAAATGAATCATTGTAAATACGTCGAGTGAATTCCCTAAACACTTCAATTATTTTTTTTAAATATTTTAACTGGCTCTGTAATGTTTTAAAAGCACATTAAAACAGCTGAGTTAAAATATAAATGTATTAAAACCCAAATAAACGATTTGAAACGTGAAATAAAAAAAAGTTTAAGCTAAGATTAACCTTGCAGATCCACAGTCGTGGTGACATTGTGGTAAATTAATGTAACTAGTATATTTCGAGTTTTAAACCGTTTTTTTATTGTGTTGGTATCGGCCGCGTAAACTACGTTTTTTACGGCATTAGTTATAAATTTCTATGATAAGGTATTAATTTATTTTGCTGCGATGTTATAAATTGTTATTTGGACGTATTTAAGATTTACTAAGTCATAAATTTAATATTGTGCTAAGTTATTTTCTTTCAATTCCTAACTAGATTATTTCAGATGGATAAAATTATCAAATGCGAAAATTCTTAAACCTCATAATGAGATAGATATATCAGACTGCAACCGCTCAGTGAGGGGGTCACAAGGTCTCTGCTGAGTCCCCTAATATTAAACTATGACGTGTAACGTTTGACAAAGTGGATATTATATGGGGGATATCCTAGTCTGACGTTTTGGAATATTTTAAAATTTCCAGACAACTAATCCGTGTGAAAATGATATAAATAACTAAGTACCTAATTGTAATCGTTTTCGTAAACGTTTTTGAAGGGAATATTATTTATCTCTTCCTTTCGTAGCCAAAATAAGTCGACAGCGTATCGTCGATAGTGTTAGGCTGGGGTATGTAACCTAGTGAACTTGTCTGTCCTCTTCTATCTTAAAAAATTATACTGTACCAGTAATTTTAAAATACCTAACTACATATAACGGTTACCTCTACACATTTTATTAATAAGTAAAAAAACGAATCCTAATTAAACGTAAATGGAGCGATGTATGGTGTAGAGAGACAGTAGAAAATTATGTTGTACCCAAATATGAAAATAGTTTTTGAAAGTAGAACTTCTAATTTAATAATCGAAAATAAATTGAAAAAATTTTCGACTCAGGCAGGACTTGAACCGGCATCGTCTGCCTTCCGTGCTGTTGCTCTACCAATTGAGCTACCGAGTCACTCGGGACTCGGTAGCTCAATTTCAAAGGTTTATTTTCGATTTTTAAAATATATTGTGCCCTCATGTGCAATAAAATGTGAAAAATATTAATGTTTTCAAAGTATAGCTTCTAATAAAAGGAAATTGTTGGTTTAAGGATTAACTCACTCCATATCTACCAACTCTTGAAGTATACCAATAAACGGACACTTAAAAGGAACAGCTGTTGATAGGGGGACAACTGTGTCAAGTTCATCATTTAGGTCATAAACCTTCGCGCAAGGTCACGAAAGTATTTTAGTATACATTTTTGCATTATCTATAGATACGAGGAAAGATTTGCGGAGTAAATAAAAATACTCGCTTGTAAGAGAGGGGAGTACACTTATTTACGACAAGTACTTTTTTCATCATCCAAGCTTTTGAAA